GTATATAACTTTCTCTATCAATGAATGTATTTTAAGAAATATAGAAAACATTAGAAATTTAGACTAACTTGCAAGTTAGTGTAAATACGAAGCTTTCTGAGGAAAAAATTTAATATAAACAAATTATTATGCATAATGATTTGTCTATAATCAATTTATTTTAAAAGTTTTCTTGTTAACAGATCTGCTGTCATGAAAGTCTTATACATGAAAGGTTTATTCAGACCCTATTGGAAATCCCTGCTTTCCAACAGATCCTATTGCTTTCCAACCTGTTAGTAGTCAATGAAAGTATGAAAATTACATACTTATTATTCACGCATGTATAATATTTTAATATTGTATAATTATTTATTAAATACAATCATTTAAAAAATACTTTCACTATCGTTTTTAAAGCTTCCAAATATAAAAACTTTATACATATATAGGGTTGATGGAAAAATAATTTTCTTAAAAGGGAACAGTCCAAGAGAAACTCCTAATATAGAGCATATCCAGTTTTAAGTGACGAGCAACTTCTGGATACAGGCGGCAAGTGAATTTTGTAAGCTTCCGGTTGGCCACATGCATTTTTCTTACGGAGTTGCAAGCTTTAAACCCCCAGTATTGACGTATTCCAGAACCATCAGTACACTAAGCCCTAAAATATTTTATAATACACGCTACCCGTAGGCAAACTAGAAATATATAATTTATTCTTATAATTCTGCCAATAAAGTATGAATGTTCTTTGTCACAATATCTGCTTAATTCAGTTTGCACGACAGGAGACAGAAAACAGGAAAATAAATTGTGAACAAAGTCCCAGGGGGCTTGCCTGTTACGACTCCAAAGGCCTGACGACTGCTCTATATAATAACAGATTTATATAATTTGTAAACGATAAGACATATAATAGAAATTATTCGGCAACAGGATATTTATTTTTTTTAATATTTGTTTATTGTTGAAAACATTGAAATGACCATTAACTGCTTTAAGGATATAATTTAGATGATTTTTATTCGAGTACTATTGGATAGAATGAAAAATGAAATTTAGTAAAGCTGAAATATTTAATAGTCTAATATCTGAAAAGTTAGGAACGTTGAATTTGTGAATTTGCTTTGAATTTTTCATAGGCAGAAACTCTAAGATATTTTTATTGAAGGCAATGCGCGCAGAATTTGTTTTACAAATTGTTACTTTCAAAATGAAGCCAGTGAAAGACTGGCTTCATCAGACAACACTGGTATTAAAGACTCGAATCGTAACGAATGAATCTAGAACAGTTGCGTTACGGAGACTGTCGTTAACGTATTTCGACCCTTCTCCAGAATTATATCCAACTTCTATGCCATTAAAGTAAATTTTACTGTTTTCGCGGCTGTTTGAAAACCTTGTCGACCGGTCTATTTCTGGTGATAAATCAAAAAGATCAGGTTATACGGTTAAGCCATTTGGCTTAAACGCAGTTTTCTATAGCTTAAATGAGCAGTTATTTATTGCGACATCGTAATAGTGCTGGGCTGCAAATTTTTAGGCTTCGGTGCACCATTGCTCTTGATTTTAGTGTTCTTCCCCGTACATCATCCTTTTCCTGTTAACAAGAGAATCGTGCCGGTCATTATCCAACTTTGTTTTGGATGAAAATTTTTGAATTGAAATAAAGTGGCATGAGGCTTTTAAGCTTTCCATCCCCCCACTGTGCAACTGCTTAGGTAGTTGTTTGCCTAAGCACTACATTTGCCTCGGCGTGTCCAGGGATGTAGCGCTGTCTCGTTTTGTTTCTCCGTGTTTGTTCTGTTTGTTGCGATTTTTCTTCGTCCTTTTCCCGTTGCCATTGGCGTTGAATTCGCCACTACGTGTTTGCCCTGCACGAATATCCTATCCGTATGCCGGAAAAGGGCATCCTGGCAGTCGAGGGGCAACGTAACGTCCTCAATATAGTGCTTTGGCCCCGCTTGGGATAAACGGGCGGTTCGAATCAGACTTTGTTCGAATCAATCGCAGGTGGTGGAGTCTTTTGGGTGTTTCTTGTCTATCTTATCCACATTCTCAGATACTTACAAGTTAGATAACATTAGAATAGACTTCCAATGGGTCCGGGTCATGCGGGGTTCTCTGCAACTAATCGCTAACCAAGTGACTGTAGGCTTGGCGGCTTGTTTGGCCAAACAAGCCGTCAAGCCTACAGTCACTAGTATTTTCGGCTTCATTCCTACCTCTTACATTAACAATCACGTCACGAATCAAATTTTCATTCTCTGGCAAGACAACCAGACACTACGATAGGCTCCCCACGCCTTCATCCCCAAGGTCGACACGACTGCGACTCTTCGCCATTTTTATCCTAGTTATATCCTCACTCGATTACTTACCGGCCACGGCAACTTTAAGCAATATTTGCATAGATTTAACCTCGCAGATAATTCACACTGCGAATGTGGTATTCTCCGGGACCAAACGCAGCTTCACTTAGTTTTTCTCCGCAACAGGTAGAACGGCATTAGGGATAGCTTAACGAGAGCTGACATTCCGGAAGGTGCATCCGGCCACGCACCCCTTACACATTCAAACAACGTACTATGTTCCAACTCATTCAAACACGTACAATGTTCCATCACCCGGCATTCATATCCTTCGGCGGGGCCTCGGAGTGCACTTACTCCGGTGGCACGGAAGGCAATTAGTTTTTTTTCTTGACTTTGCTTCCGCCGTTATTTTCTCGCTGCCCGTTAGTTTTCGGTAGTTTAAGTATGTCTTACCAGCGGACGAGCCCGGCGTTGCTCGGGCAAAAAGTGACGATAGCGAAGATTAAGATAATTAGATAATAGCCGGATGCAAGAATGAGGTCTCCCTCTTCCGAGATTAATTAGAGAACTTTTACGTGGACTAAAAATATATTGGATTTTCTGCAAAAACGCAAACCATCGCATCTAAAATAGTAAAGTAGAAGCCGTTCCTCAGGTTGAGCCTTAATCCTCCCCTCTCCTCCCGCGGGGGAGTTTCGAAAAATCCCTTCTTAGTGCGCGTTTTCGCGACGTACCCTCCCCGTATTAAATTTCATCTCTAGGTTCAGCGCTTTGCTCTGGGCGATGATGAATCAATCACTCAGTCAGTCAGACAAGTAATTTTATAAACAGTATTTAGATTAGTTTTCTTTGGTGTTAGTATAGCTTAGGTTCTTGGCGATAAGTTTTTAGATAGGTTTAGATGTAGGTTAGGTTAGGTTTGTGTATAAAAATTTTGAGATCTGGCTCGTTTATCTTCCGTCGGTAGGTTAGGTTAGGTTTGTGTATAAAAATTTTGAGATCTGGCTCGTTTATCTTCCGTCGGTCCCGTATCTTTTGTGTGGTCGTTGTCTTGGTTTTTTATCGCGGTTAAGTTAATATTAAGATTGGCGCCGGCGTTGTTTTCATTTTGTTTCAAGTAGTAATAAGTCCATACTAACAGCCACTCGGCACTATCCTTTACTCTTAGCTTTATGTGGCGGCACTCGATTATCGGGGTCGGCTACAGTGGGGTCTACGGCCGACAGCCTAAAAAGTGCCGCCGCGCCAGTGCTAAACGTAGAGGGTGAAGTAACCTTACGTACGCCGTTTGGAGGATTCTACCTTTCTCTATCTCCTCTCCCCCATTCCTTCCCCCTTTCCGCCGGCTTGGCGTCTTTTGCTGAAGTGTCTATAAAGCGGTGCGTTTTAATTGGGAGACGAGTTTTATTGGCGGCATTTCGGGAGGAAAACGTTCCGGTTCTTACGTAGGTTTCCGGCGGATAAGGCAGTAGTCTACTCCGACGATTTTTACGGAGGATTCGTAGGGTTTTGCCGCTTCCGACTCTGCCGGTAAGAAGTTATCGGAAGTATCGGCCGGCCCTGGGCTGGAATTGTTTTTCTCCGCTAATGGCATTTAATTGCCTAATCGGCGGGCAATAAATCGATTACCGGCCCCCGGACGCGGCTAATTATCGTTCTCGACACCTCCCCGCCATTATTTAATTATCGGCCCGTCCGGCTTCCTCGGACCTCCGCGGCCGGGCGCCGGTTTTACGCCCGTGGCGGTAAAAATACGGTAAAACCGGAGGAGATTTGGTCGAGATGGCCGACCGAAACCCGTAATCCGGTTAAAATCCACGTAACGGAAATATATATAAATGGTTTTGCTGTATCCACGTAACGGATTTCGTAACCCGAAGATTCTTACAATAAATTGCTCGGATGTGGGTCGGGAACGTTAATCATTCTACGTATTTTCGTAGTCTATTACCTGGTATTTTGGTGGACCGTCGTCCGATGGTTTTATCCGGCTTTTAGTATTTTATACTACGTTAGTACTGGTTCGTTATACGCCACGGTTAACGACGATTTCCTACGATATTTTGCTTCTTAAAATGTTTTGGCTTTTTGTGAGACGTTACCGCTTAATGCTCGGTACGTCTGTTTTATATTTCATATCGACCGGCATGGTTTTAACGCGGCTGCGGGGTCCCCTCGTCCTAGGGAAAAGTTAAGAAGAACGGTAAATACGGGAACAAATTAACGGCCTTTAAGTTCCGACTTAACGCGCTCCGTAACGGTTATAATCGTACAGACGACAGAAGGGTTTGGGGGTGTGGAAAAGCTCCTAACGGAATTTTCTTTTTGGTCTTTGGCAGGAACTGGAGCCTTCGGTGGGCGAAGCGCTGTGCAAGTTGTGGGACAAGCCCTACTCCGTTCTACAGAACCCGCCCTCCGGAAGATCGGGCATTCCCTCTTCGTGGTACGAGGCGGCCTCCTCCGGCGGATCCTGCTCCTGGACCACCAACTGCAACTAAACTCCGCTCCTTCTTCGTTCTTCGTTCATTAAAATTCGTTGGTTTCTCTTCGTCCCGTCCTTTTTTTCTCTCTCACGGCGTCGGACCGAAGACAATTAATGGCCTTACCGCCGGGCTTACAGGCGGAAGGCCTCCGTCCTCGTTTTTCGCCACCGGCCGGCTATCGGGCCCGTTACGGGTCGTCTCGGCATTTTCCGCGGTAAAAAGGGAAATTACGGACCGGGGCCGAAGACGGAAAATACCCCGGCTCCGTCGGTCTTTCGGATACCACTGGGGGAGGCGCGGCGCTCCGGTTATTACCTAGGCCGTTCTTCTCGGTGGGCCCGGGTGTCAAAACCCAACGAGGCCAAAAGCTCCGTATTTTCGTTTATTGCCGGTTTCCGCTTCCGGAACAGGCAATTGCGGGATACGAAGCTCGGAAGACTGCCGGTTTGCCCCCCTCCGAATTTCCGGAACGGAATGCGCGATTAAAGGAACGGACCCGGTCCGGGGAAGCCGATAATTAACGGACGGCCCGACCTTTTACCGCGGAGGGAAGACGGCGCCCGGCCGAAATTGCGGAAAGGAAGAGGCCGAAGGTGGGCGGCGGAGAGCGGAGAAAACGCCGTTCGGGAAGGTTACCGACGGAAACGGGCGGAAGGGTACCCCCACCCGACCGGCCGATCTTCGCTTAGCGGCCGGCGGGCGTCTCCGGCCGTCCCGTCGCCTCCTGGCGTCGGCCGCGGGTCAGAAATGAACGTGTGCTGGATCGCGCTGCTGGTCTGCGCCCTCGGCGGTGAGTAGCGCGTCGCTCTCATTCCGAAATTTCGCTGGGAAACTTCCCCGGAAGAAGGGGACGAGGCCGGCGGGCGAAAAACGGCCCGGGGTTCCGCACCCGAAAGAGTGGGGAGGACGGCGGTCGTCGTTTTCGTCCGAGAAACCGGGCGGGGAGGGTGCCGACGGGGTAGGTAAACTTCTAGACCGCGGCGGAATTGCCACGGTTTCGGTGGCGTTTACCCCGTAGCGCTAGGAATTACGTATTTGCCCGCCCGGGTGGCGGTACCTTATTTTCCGTCGTTCCGCGCGGATTCCCGCCACGTTTACGGCGGCGGTGGCCCGTACCCTGGAGTGGTAATTCGTCGGTCGGTTCGACTCGTCCCCGTCGGACGTTAAACCGGGTTAATTACTATCCCACCCCCGTTTCGACTTAAATGGCTTTCCCCGGCGCCCTCCGACGCCTCTAATCTGGTTCCGACTAAGCTTTCCCCCACCCTTTGCCGGGCGGCCGGGATTTCCTCCCGGGTGGGCCGACGGTTCGAGACCGGAAACGGAAACGCAAATGTGCCACGTTTTTCGTTATCCGTAATTTAAATTTGCTCGGACTGGAATATTTCGAGTAAGGCCGGTATCGCACGTTTTGCCGATCCTCCGTACAAAATTCGCAGTCTTTAAGCGTAAACTTGGTTTTTTATTCCAAGTCCGGGATGGGTTGGCGGATTTTGCAATACCGACATTTTCGAATTATTTTGCGCCGTAACGAGAAACCGTAGGACGATTTTTTCTTCCTCGACGTCCCGACCGGATGTCGTCGTCGTTTAGCCCTTAAGTGACCGTGTTTTCTTTTTATAGATTAATCTTCGTATTAAGGTTATTTAAATGTTTTTAGACACGATTAAAATAAGCGTAATAACACTGGAGTATTACTTATTTACCGATACGACGGGATCTCGGCACTCCACCCGACGACAAGTTTTCCGTTATTAACGCGCGTTTATGTCGATCGTAACGAAAAACAATACTATACTTTCGTTAACTTCCGAAACCCAACCCTTCGTTCGGTATACCGCGGCACTTTTTCGGTCCCTTCTTTTCTTACCGTAAATAGTGGCTTAACTTTCCCGACCGCCACCGTTAAGGAGATAACTTTTATATTAGCCTAATAATAATAAATTTCGTCCGGCGCCATCCGCTACCGTATTTCGTTATTTGCTGGTAATAATAATATCTTAATATTAAAAGTACAACGGCCGGGAGAGTAATAAACGTGGTGTAGAATATCCATCCGAAATTAGGCCAGACAAGTTTCTTGGCCACGGTTTATAGAAAATTATATTTAAAATGAAACCTAATACGGTACGGTATAGGACGACTAGAGAGCCGTTAGCGCTAATTTCGCTTAATTTAATCTCGTTTGACCGTCTACGCGGCCTAAAAATTACGGTACTAAAGGGTGGTTACAACCGACCGGAAATACGTGTGACGCGTCTACCGTTTACTTCGTAGTTAAAGATTCGGAGGATTATCGGATGGACGGGGCGGGTTACCCGCGTTATTTCCGGCTACTAAATAGGTATCGTCGCCGCTACTTTCCGGGAATGACCCCTCTTTTGTCTTTGCAGGTGGGCCGGAGAGGGTGGCCGGTCAATTGGACCAGGCGCTGGTGCTGCGAATCCAGGAACTGATCGGCGGTACTCGCCGGGAGGACGGCAGCGTCGACCTGAGTCTGCTCCTCCGTCGCTACCTGGCCGATCCCTTCCCCGTGCCCGACTTCAACATCAGCGACTCGGGCGCCTTCTCCTCCCTGGAAGGCAGCTTTCGCAACGTCACCCTGTCCGGCCTGTCCGAAGTGGACGTCCGTCAGATCCGCCTCAATCTGGCCCACACCTACCTGACATTAGAATGTGCATGGGGACACGATTTAGTTCAATCACTTTGACGCTTAATAACTAATTCTTGTGGTAAACCATCCGACTCCGATTCCGACCACAGAAATTATTAGGCTTCAAACGGGGTGAACGAAATCGTGCCCCCCCCCACAGTCTAACATCCACGCGTATAGAAAAAACCTGGAATCTTTTGCTTAATTAACTCGAAATTTCCAGGTGTTCCGAGTCCAAAAATGTAAAAATTTGGGAGAGGTCATTTTTTGACCCAGCGCTACACTTTGTTATATGTCCTCTGTTATATATAACGGCCAGAAAAGTTAAAATTATCGAATACGTATTTATATATTACTCACAAGGAGAGCCTACGGCTTTGGGGTAACGGATTTTGATGATCTTTGTTGCCTGCTGCGACTGGAGGGCGACTACGACCTGAAGGGATCCGTCACCTTCTTCACCGTCTTCGGCGGGGGACGAATGTGGATGAACGCCAGCCGAGTGGAGATGACCGCCTCCGTCTTCCTGCGTCGCCACCCCGCCGCCGGCCACCTGCGAGTGGAGTCGGTGGAGGTGGGGGCCCGGGCCAACCGCACCCAGCTGCACTTCGAGCGTCTGGGCGGGGCCCTGATCAGCGGAGTCACCAACGCCCTGCTCAATCAGCTTAGTTCCCTGCTCTTTCGGCACGTGGAGAGATCGCTGCTGGCCGACCTGAAGCGGGGCCTGAAGGAGGAACTGGACCGCCACCTGGCTCGGGTGCCCGGGGACGCGGTCCGGCCGCGGACGGCCAACCTCTTCGACGACGTCCTCCTGCAGGCGGCCGAGAGTTTCAAGTCCGTAGGCCTGGACCCCCTGCCCTTGGAGGCCCGCACTTTCCGGCTGCCATCGCGCCTGCCGGTGACGGGAGGGAGCGTCCGGCTGTCGGACGGTCGATTGAGCGGCCTGTCCACCCTCCGACGGACGGGCGACGTGGTCCTGGTCTACGACGAGACGGGAGTGGCGGCGGAGGCCAACGTGGGTTTCGGCAATCTGACCGGGGCCTACGGTTGGCGGGCCGAGATCCTGGGCCTGGCCCTTTCCGGACGCTCCGCCCTGTCCGTCCGCTCGATCTCGGCCGGTCTGGTGTTGAGACAGAATCGGTCGGCCGGCAGCCGCCCGGAGGTGGACCGACTGAAGATCGACCGCATCGGCCAGGTGTGGGTGGAGGTGGAAGGTCTGGGCACGTGGGACTCGGTGGCCGAGATCCTGGTCAATCTGGTGGCCAACTGGCTCAAGCTGACCATCGCCGACGCCGTGTCCGACAAGATCAAGGACGCCATCCAGGAGCAGTTGGACCGCCTGTCCCTCAGCCTGGTCTGACCGGGGGGCGGAAAAGGACCCGCTTCCGGAAAGACGGTGGGAAAATACTCCTTACTCTCGTTATTCGTACGCAATAAAGACGAAGTTTGAAACAGATCTCGGCCTCTAATTTGTCGGTTTCCGGGCGATTCGACGGAAAAAGCTTCTCCGGAACGCGGTTAGACGAACTCTAATTAACGGGAAAAGTACGACGTTTGCGGTTAAACAAATTGTAGCCCGGCGTCACCGTAAATAACCGCTCGTTCTGTCGACGTTTCTCGGCGTAAATAGCCACTCGTCCGCTTTCTCCAAAGACGTAAAAAGACGTATTCGAGTCCCGGATATACGTGTTTAGCGCGTTCGTTTTACCCGGCGCCGCGTTTGCGACGTTTCCGTTCCGTTATAACCTCACTCGATACGCCAAACATTCACCGGGGGAAAGCGTAAACTTCGAGCGGTTGGCGTAAGGAAATTTAAAAACGGAACGAAACAAATTCGACAATTAACCAGGAAAAATTAGCGCCGTGTATTCCCAGCGTGAAAAGCGGGGCTGTGGAGTCGCAGTCGTCAAAAAGTCCTCCGACTCCTTTTTTACTTCCCAACTTCTTATGTATATAAAATGGAAAAGTATTGGAATCGTGTCAAATTTCACCCTCCAAGTTTTTTTTTTTTTTTGCAAATTACACGTTTGGAGACCTCCCGAACCCCTCAAAAAGTGAATAAAAGGGGAAAAATTGTGTTTGTGTGTTGGCGTCTAATTTGTTTAATTTCTTTATTTTCTGTTCTGAGATATCTCAAAATGGGTAAAGTTTAAGAGACGAAACGTGGCACTGTAGTTGGCGTATAAAGAGGCATTAATAATACTATTAAATTTTGGACCTTAATTAAAGGTCGACGGGGTGAAGATATAAAAGTGGTCACGTGTCATGTCTCTTAATGAATATTTTACTCGTTATTAGCGTTCAAAATTAAAAAAAAAAAATAAAACTCCTCTCTACCCTCAAAGTAAGCTTTTTTGTCATTTTATAATAGTACAGTAAAACCCGTTAAAATGTTCTCGCCTAAGATGTTAGAATGTGCATGGGGACACGATTTAGTTCAATCACTTTGACGCTTAATAACTAATTCTTGTGGTAAACCATCCGACTCCGATTCCGACCACAGGAATTATTAGGCTTCAAACGGGGTGAACGAAATCGTGCCCCCCCCACAGTCTAACATCCACGCGTATAGAAAAAACCTGGAATCTTTTGCTTAATTAACTCGAAATTTCCAGGTGTTCCGAGTCCAAAAATGTAAAAATTTGGGAGAGGTCATTTTTTGACCCAGCGCTACACTTTGTTATATGTCCTCTGTTATATATAACGGCCAGAAAAGTTAAAATTATCGAATACGTATTTATATATTACTCACAAGGAGAGCCTACGGCTTTGGGGTAACGGATTTTGATGATCTTTGTTGTAGAGGTAGTACACCATGTGAGTGTACTACCTGTAAAATACTAAAGTGCAATACTCAAATATAATCGAGAAAATCGAACTTAAAGTTTTTTAGCACTTTATATATAAATTATACGTATTTCTATTCAAGCGTCTTGTGGCAGAGTGATACAAATACAATTTAGTTACAGATACATTGCAGTAAATCTAGAGGATGACACATAGGTTACAGCAAACGGTCCGAAGATATACATTTATCTAGTGTTAAGATACCGAAAAAGTCTTTGTTATAAGTAGCAATCACTCTCCTTGCTGATGGATGACTTGACGAGCAACTGGGCGGTAATATATTGACAAGAAACTGACGTCAGTGAGTAGTTAATTCCACTCATCATTAAGGACAAACTTATCATTTATGCACTTGAAGATGACATCGACCGTGCCTTTGTAGAAACTGTTGAAATCTTTTTCGTTGAAGTAGTGGTGGTCAGCTTTAATTTTAAGGGCGGCCTCATCGCGGATTTTGTTTGCAATTAGTGTCGCATTCCATCTCTTGTTTTCAAATATGAAGATGCATCTTGCCTTCCATAGCATTCTTTTGGTCAGTGCAACCATCCAGTTTATGCAGTACTTATTCTGTTGTTTGACAGGAAAATTGTAGTGGTGTTTGATGCAGTCCCAATTGAGTCTGGTCTTAAAGATTTTGTTCACCCAACTCCATACCTGGGTGGCTATTGGACACTCGAAAAAGATATGGAAAGTGTTTTCAATCCTGTGGCATCGGGGACAGTTGGCACTTCGCATTTGTTGGTACGTGTGTAAGAAGTCTTTAGACATTACAATGTTATTAAGGATTCTCCACGATGTTTCTTTCCATTCGGCAGGTAGGTGTGAGATGTTTGCCCATGTGTCTTCCCATTTTATCGACGTGTCGTTAAGGTTGGGATTGGGCCACTGATGGTGAATGGTATTATAAATAGCAGATGGTCTAGTTTTATCTTGAGTTTGGTTGTTTGTTATAAGTATGTTGATGGTTTTTCTCCACATTTTGTATTTTTCGTTGTTGTCAATTAGTAACGGTCTATTTTCCTGGGTGTTGTTGATTCGCTTGATGANGTTATTGTCAACAAAAGTATAAAAATATTAGACTTGGAATAGTAGAAATTAAATTAAAATAAATAAATAATAAGAAATAAATGAATGAGTAAATAAATAAATACATTATAAGTATTTATGAATTAAAAAAAAAAAATTATACGCGAGAATCGAACCCGAGAACTCAGGCTTATGAATCTGACTTGTTACCACTCTGCCACAAGACGCTTGAATAGAAATACGTATAATTTATATATAAAGTGCTAAAAAACTTTAAGTTCGATTTTCTCGATTATATTTGAGTATTGCACTTTAGTATTTTACAGGTAGTACACTCACATGGTGTACTACCTCTACAACAAAGATCATCAAAATCCGTTACCCCAAAGCCGTAGGCTCTCCTTGTCAGGAGTCTTTTAGCTTTGAAATAAAAAGTTTCTACGCTCTATCTTTATTAGAACTCTATTTATCGAATCTTTTATTCCGAGGTCACGTAATGACGTCAGAATTTCCGGGTCTCTTTCGGTAACCAGTCCGCCCCTGGTCGGAGTCGGTAGATTTTTACGCGACTCCACGGCCCTGGTGAAAAGTATGGCGAAACGTACGGTACATTTTAAGTCGGTACGACGATACGACCACCAAGTGTCTACGGTTTGCCTTTAATTAATGCGCTTGAATTTCTCGTGCCGAAAAGGTAGGTTCCGAAGAACTCTTTGCCGAAATCTTCGGCTGGGAGTGATTTGTAGGCTTTGGCGCGGTCGAGTTAAAAATTGGGTTATTAAACGAGGCGTGGCCGTATTCCGTCTTCGGCCACGAACTACGATTCTCTAAGAACGAGTCGGTCGTCGTAGTAAGATCGACTCCGCTATACGTTACAGTTTTATATCTGTACCAGTTGTTAAATAACCCGGTAAAAAGTCCCGCAACGAGTCGCTTAACTTTCCCGGCGACGTTTAAAAGCGCGTTCGGTGCCATCCGTTACGACGTTTTATTTTAAAAACTTTTTACATTTTTACCGAACGTGTTATTCTATTCTCGCGCTAATTATCGTGTTGGTCGGTTTTTTATCGGTCGTCTCTTCGTCCGTTCCTACCATTTTCACTAATGCCGTCGTATCGCTCGAACACTATCTCTCCGTAATTATGTACGTAATAGCTGTTACCCGCGGCTTGGCCCGCGGGGGTTTTGCAAGCAAACCCCATTTATATTCAGTATTTCGACCACCGTAGTAATTGTTATATAACACCTACCGCCGAGAATGATGACAATTGCCGAGAATCAAACCAACTATTTTCAATTTGATCAATTTTCTGGAACGGTTACAATCGTTCTATAATTTAAAAAGATTCGAACATTTGGTTAAAAAATCGAAATATATAAAAATATTTATGACAATGTCTGAAATGTTATCAATTTAAGGGAAAGTATGGGAATCAATTTCGAAAGCCGTTCTTCCGGCTAAGCCTTAATCCTCTCCCTCTCCCCCCGCGGGGTAATTTCGAAAAATCCCTTCTTAATGCGCGTTTTCGTGACGTACCCTAACTGCGTACCGAATTTCACTTGTAGCTTCGGCCGTTTGCTCTGGGCCACGATCAATCAGTCATTCAGTCAGTCGGGACGAGTAATTTTATATATGTATCGCTGTACTTAACCGGATTACGCTCTGGCGATATCGGAAATAAATGAAGAATAAAGCCCTAAAACTGAAACGGTCTACGGGAACCCAGTGAACTTTGACCTACTTCTTAACCAGAAAGGCTTAAGTTTAAAGTTTGAGCTTTCAGACTGGATAGTTTTTCTCTATCGGCAATGCCGGATGAAGAAAAAGAAGAAAATGCGGCTCTTTAGCGCTTTTATTTCGGCAACCGCTTTATAGAAAATGTCGAAATTTTGCGCGCTACCTAAGAAAACAATTAGCTCTCGAACGAGATGTTGGCAATTACTTTAGACTTCGGGACAGAGAAATTGGTCCCCGAAAATCGGCAACTCCCGTTCCCGTATACGTAGTCGGTCGGTGGTTTTTATTCGGCAAGATTGGCTGCCGCCACTCTCGATATTTACCTAAATTACAAAGCGTACGATGAAACTTATACAAAACGGAACGGAGAGATTTTCTGTTAAAAAACCCGTTCGAAACGGAAAAAATATTCTATAATTGCCATTCCGGTTTTCGCTAATTTTACCTTATATTTTAATCGGCCCGCGAAAGGAATGTCGGTAGGATTTGCCATTCGCATCGAACATGTACTGTACTGTACAGTACGATAGATAAGTTCTGTGGCCGCCAGCGCCAGAGATCCTGAACACTGTCTGGCAACACTTGCCAAGATCACGAACTCTGTCTGGCAACACTTGCCAACAAGGGTGGCTGGCAACGTCAAAAAAGAAAAGGCGCGAAAGTTCGTTGGATTTTGTCCGGGTGTCGCCCGAGGATGTCTGTGACAGTTCTAACCTTTTCTAATAAAGTTTTTTTTTTGTTACTGTTCGTGTTTGCCTGCTTAATGTTAGATCTAAACATCAGTAGGATTGAATGACAAAGTTCTTTACGCGGCTACCACATCGATATTATTGTTTAAACTATAATCCACGGCCACGGCGCACTTGTCGTATAGTAAATTATATCATATTAGGTGCGCGCTGCGCGTGTCTAACCATTAAGATCGAACGATGATTGAAATTAATAAATAGCTACGCGGATATACGATTCGTTATTGTCCGAATTTTACACGTATGTCTTTTACAACGGCTTATTAACCTAGGATTTATTGGCTCGGCCAAAAGAAAACCGATATTGGCGTAGTAAGGAAAAATCCCTTAGAAGAAGGCCCGCTTACGACGGAAGCCAGCCGGTACTGGCTTTTTGTACCGGTTCCCGATAACAACAGTTTCGAATGCCGAGTCACCGGGGGTGGGCCACTGTTACCCTACACATTCCTTCCCGAAACTTGGGAAAAGATGTCGCCACAGCTTACGCCGACGACGTTCTTATCCGGGCGACCGCGCAATCGACAGCCAACTTAGGAAATAAATGCGACGGCATTCCGGATAAAATCGATGACCGGGGAAAGCGATACTAGCTAACTTTCGACTCCGGGCGAGACAAGACGGAAGGAATTATCTTGGCCCAGCCAGACCAGCCATCTAGACGTAATCCTAGATGGCGAGATTTTACGGACTGGCCGTATCGAATATTGGTGGTATCCGCACGCGCGCGGAAAGACTTTTCCAGAATTTCTCTGGCTCGGCTAAAAGCCACCGGGGTCTAGACTCCCGCGCAATGAGCGCGATATACAATGTAACGCGCCTTCTACGTCATACGCCCGCGTAATCGACGAGGCGCGCCATCTCGGCTATAATCGTCCCAAAAGAGGGCCCCGCTATACGCGGGCGCATTTGCCCAGTCCGAAGCCTACGAGTTCTTACCGAAAAATCCCCGACAAATAAGGTCGTTACGCTCCGGGCGTAAATCTGGCGTGTATCGAGGGGATACGACGTTCCCACCGGGTACGGCCTTGTATCGGCCGGGGATATCGAAAGGTCCGAGGACTTTTAGCCATCCCAAGTAAAAGCCAGGCGTTAAATTCAATTTACGTAAGACGCGACGATTTTTTAGTCGTTACCGCGTAATCTGACGATTGATTTAATTATTTAAAAGTTGTATTAAAATTGAAAAATCTTTAACTCTAGTTGTGTTTTCGCTTTTAATTAAGCCGTTCTCCTTAATTAAATAAGTTGAAAAATAAATTTAACGTAACTGGAAGACCGCGTCGTCGGCCATTTTCATTGTTTTTCTCTTCCAGTCGGCGTTTGTGTTCTCGCTGGATCGATCGCTTTCCTCTCCTTTTACCTCCATCGTGATAAACGTTCATTTGTTCTTTACATCAGTCTTTTATATTAATTTCTTATTGTTTTTAGTATTAAACGCAATATTTATTCTCTATAAAATGTGTTTCTGAGTGTCTAGAACCAATTAATTGGATTTCGTCGATTCGTGTGGAAATGATTGGCCGGGTTTTCGTCGGTTTCGCATTTCGCCCGTTGTTTTCGGACGGATTATCGGCGGAAACCGCGGTATCGCTGCATTACGAAATTAATTCAGACGCCGCGCAAATATCGTCGATACGAAAAAGATAAACTTATTTAATGCCGCCGAGATGTCAAGTGTTCCGTATACGCGGCACGTAAAAAGTTATTTTATGTACGCGCGTACGCGGGCACACGTACGCGTACAGTGTTGGCGGATTAAAAGTGTAAGAAAACGTATTATACCTACTACAATAAAACTAATTGGATTAACAATATAGGGGCTAAAGTTTCCTCTGACGAAATTAGCCAGGTATTATGACCGACTCACCCGCGATATGGCGAAATAACCATCCGTACGCGACGTAACAAATACCGTATACTCCTAGAAAACTAAGATGTAAATATATGGATAAGGACGAAAAGCCGCGCCGTTATATCGACAGTACGGGCCCTTTAATAGTTCCATTTACGAAATATGCCTCCGATAATTAAGGAATAATTCATTTCGTCACCGAATGACCGACGTTTAGCTATTTTTCCAGGGCCTGACGAAAACGCGAAAATTACGCAAAGTAAGGAAAATACAAAAAAAAAACGAAACCGATGTGAGAAATCGCCGAAGCCGAGAGTCTGTCGGCCGACGATTAGTTCGCCTCTTTATAAAGAACGCGGAAGCGTCGGCCCTCGCGATTGGTCCGGACGAAAAGACCCGAAAGTGGCCGATCGAAAGATTTTACGTTAGATCGGGGGACGGATCGTCTTTGGTCCGGTGTTATTTCCGAGAAGAGTTTGACCCGGCGACTAACGAACCACCGTTCTTCTCTTGGCGCTTTCTACGCCACCGCTCCCGAGGTTGGTGGCCGTTCTTTTCGTCCGAAGTAACGGCAGCCGCCAGAAGGAGACGAGAAAGTGCATCTTGCTTTATTTAAAGTCGACACTCTACAGACTAAAAGCTCCGAGGGAAGCTCCTAAGAACTCGACCGCCGCCCGGAAGAAGCGCGGCTCCGGTCCCGGTCCCCGGCGATAAAACCGGAAAGGGTGTCCGCGGCCGGGACGGAAGAGAGGGGCGAGTGGCCCGTCGCGGTCCGTGTCTCTGGCCGGGACCCCTAGGTGTCGGCGTAGTCGGTGGGCAGCTCCGCCTGGAAGTGGGGCACTTTGGAGATCTTGACGTCGATGGGCTTCTCCTGGTCGTACAGGTGCGGGGCCTGCAGGAAGATTCCCACCGTTCCGGCGATGCAGGCGCCGGTGAAGAGCCACAGGAAGAGCCTGTCCAGCACCATGGCCACGTACTTCCAGTCTTCTTTGATCTGAAAGAGAAAGAGAGCTTTAGTCCTTGCCGCCGCCGCGCCGCCCCGCGGGCCGCCGGGCGCCGTACTCACGCTGTCGAAGTCGTCCTGGTTGTCGATGTGTTGGGCGATGAACATGGCGTTGTGGATGGCCCTCTCGATCTCGCGGGGGTATCGCCTCTCCACCATTCCCGGGCTGGATTCCAGTTCGTGGATGATGACGTCGTCGGAAGCGGCCCGACGGAAGTGGGAAGTGCCCGGGTGCTTCTCGGTGTTGTTTCCCAGCGGGTCCTTGAGGTAGGGTTCCGTCCCGTTACTCTTGGAACCGTCCTTGCTGTCTTCGCTGTCCGTTTCGATTTTGTACTGGGGCTGGCGCATGAGCAACCAGCGGGGGAGGGTGCGAATGAAGACTCGCCGCACCCAGGGGGACATGCGATGGGTGGAGGGAGAGCGGAAGTGGACGTTGAGCACGGCGATGGTGACTATGACCGACAGCGTCACCAGGATCATGGTGAAGACCAGGTACTTGCCCAGGAGGGGCATGGCCAGGGAAGTGGAGGGGATGATTTCGGCCAGAACCAGGAAAAAAAAGGTGAGCGATAGAAGAATGGAAACGCAGAGCGACACTTTCTCGCCGCTGTCGGAGGGAAGGTAGAAGACCAGCACGGAGAGCCCGGAGATGCCCACGCAGGGAATGATGAGGTTGATGGTGTAGAAGAGAGACTTTCTACGGATGGTCAAGTTGAAGGTGATGTCCGGGTAGGGTTCTTCGCAGCAACTGTAGTATTTCTCCTTTCTTTTAGCGGGAACTTCCATAATGTCCCATTCCACGCTCAAGTAGAACTCGGTCAGGTCGATCCCGATGGGCACGACGTCTTCGTTTTCGATCTCGTGCAAATGCTTGAGATCCACCTGCCAAGAAATATACGAGGTCGGATGAAGCGGTGCTTTTACTGCGGAAAAAAGAAGAGTTGGGAAAGGAGGAAAGTCCCTACCGGGAGGGAACGCGTAGCGTATTTTTCGCTAGGAAACAGAGAAGTAGGAGAAACTCTTCCCGTATGAACGGAGTCAAGTGCGAAAGAGGTCCGTCTTATAAAGGCGGCTATACACCATGGGTTAATCCTGAAAGGAGTAACCATGCATGCCTGATTTTGAGTCATTCCTGGAAGTGTGTGGGGGAAAATTTAACAGTTTCGGCGAACTGTACCGACCACCCGAGTAGAATTGAAAAACCATTTGATATTTCTGGCGCAGTGTCAGTGCCGACCTAAACGTGTGTGAGAACAATGTCTGGTGAATGTTTGGAAGAATTTTTCTATAACCTTATTAACTTTTATTATTTATAACCTAATTAATTAATTTTTCAGGTTATGAATTATTTTCGGATCAAAAATTTCTCGAGTAAATAAAAATTATAAATAATTTTAATATTTAGAAAACTTCTCAATTTATTTCTTCAGTTTCATAAAACATCTTTGTACTTTTTATCATTTTCTTTTACATTTAAAAAAATTTATTCTTTTAATATCCAAGTAAATTAAAACGCGACGACTTAAAATAAGACAAAGTTTAATAAATTATTTTTAATTATTAAATTAATTTGCGATAATAATGTTTACAATTTGTACTAATATCGGATGTGGTTGACAATTATTAATATATATTCGTCTATAAAATTTAATCCATGAATTTTTTGGTAGTAAAATCGACTTGCCATTGATCTTTCGCTGATAATTGATGCTTTTTAACAAATCTATAGCCCAAGATTTCTCTTGAAAAATTAATTTTGTGATCTGAAATAATTCCATTAAAAAATTATTCGTATGAAAAATTAATTGTGTGATCGGTGCTACCCAAACCACTACTACTACTATTTACACCATAGACTTCTATGCATACTTTTTTCCCGCGAGTTTTAATAGAATTTGTTGCCAATAAACATCAGTGGCGTAATAATAAACACAATGGCGTAGCCAACATAACTGGCACCCGGGCCGCGACACTATATTGGCGCCCCCTCCCCCTCCAAAAACAAATTTTGTTTTTCTTGGAAACCATTTGGCTCCCCTCTGCCAGTGGCGCCCGGGGCAAGCTGCCCCACCCTCTGCTGAGAAGTTTTCTTGGTTTGTGGGCGATAAGAAATTCTGAAGTTCCTGGAGGACAGGCGGCCTCAAAGGATTAACTTATCGTGTATAGCTGCCTTTAGAAGTCCGCGTCTCGGTGGGGCCGGGGGCCGGCAAAGGATGTCCATCCGTCGGTGGACAGGAGCCGACCAACCCGCCGAAAATCAAACCGGGGACCGGAGTTGTGTCAGTTTGGCCAGTCCGACCAGTTTACCGGCGCGATCCTTCTTTGGCCTGGTTTGAGAATAGCGGCGCGGTCCCCGAAGAAGTCCATTTTACCAACGGATTGCCGGTCTTTGTCACGTAACGGCCCGTCGCCCCCGCATGCGGTACGAAACGACAAACGATTTCCGTTTCCGCCTTAGCCTTGGGGAAAAGCCGGACAAAAATCGGGGTAAGAGGGAAAGAGAAGAGACTCACCCGGTATCCGTCGTAACTCCACGATCCGAACTTCATAAAGCACATCTGGTTGTCGAAGGGAAAGTACTGAATGTCGATCTGGCAGGAACTCTTGTAGATGGCGGGAGGGTTCCACACCACAGTCCCATTGCTGTAGATGATGGCCTTGGTCATGATGGTCACCTCGTAGTTGCCGTCGGCGCTGCCAACAAAGCGGGATCAGCGCCTCTTCCTCTCCCGCGGGAGACGAAGAGGACCGACAAGATTAGACACGCGCTTATTTTTTCTCCCGACTCAACTTTCCCGTTCCTATTCCGGGCTTCCGTTTTACCATAAACACCCTCTGTGGCTCCCCCCGGCGAACGGGAAAGAAAAAAAGGTTAACGGGCACGCCACTTTAATCGTTTTTCTAGGGCTAAACTTCCGAGAATAACGCGTTTTACGGCATCCTCTACTAACGGGCCACTTCCCACGGCTAATTCTTGGCCCACGATATTTGTAGGGAAAACCGCTCCGTTCCGCTACTTTGGCTCTTTCTTTTCTTTCCAATTTTGTCTCCCGGTATGAGTTTACCTTTATTCGTCCAGCCCGGCCTAGGAATGAGTTTACCTTTATTGTCCACCCGGCCCGGCCTAGGAATCGGCCCGTGGCCGAGAGACCGATACGCCCGACAACGTCGAAACTGAAAACGGGCAATCGAAAGAATAACGTATGAATTATAACTCTTCCAACCTAACTAACGACAGTACTAAGTTTCGGATTCATCGGGGCAATCTTCGACGGGGTAAGGCCCCGACCCCCCTCTTCCTTAAAACGGCCGAAGAGTGGGACACGAACGTAATTTTGATCCAGGAGTCTTAAACTGTTAACGGCAGCTTCACTTTCAGCGGAAGATGGTCCACCTTTTCTCCGAGATACGTGGCCCAACTCCTAAAACCGGAATTTTCGTCGGGAACTCAAATCTCTTCGGTTCGTGCCCGATCTTTCCCTGGACCGCACTACCGTTCACACCCCGCGCATCGATGGAAAGACGCTTCATTTATTATTCTTCCTGTCAAACAATAGACCCTCTTAGACGAACTGGATAACGTACGGGCCGTCATCAGTCGGGCTCCCTAGTTGACAGGGGATGATGCCAATGCCTAGAGCAGCGGTTCCAAAACTTTTTTGATTCTCAGCGCCCTGGCTAAATCCAGATTTTTTGAAGGACCCCGTGTCAAATTCCAACAAGTACAATTTGCGAAATAGCTAAATAGCCAATAATTTTTTAAATTAAAGAGTTAGGACGTTAAGCAAAAAATAAATAAAACAAGTATTTAAGGTAACATAATCGTGTAATTCAGCAAATTCAATTAATTATAATTGGCGGGATGGATGAGCTCGTTGATCACCGCACATTTTTTCAAATCTTGGAATCGAACTGGACACAGCCACCCGCATTTCCTTCTCCACATTGATTTTCGTGCAATGCTTAGTTTTTATCATAGACTCGGCTTCGCAGATAAAAAGTGGCAAATGGAATTAAGATTCTCCGAGCTTTACCACTCAGAAGGGACATTCGTCTTTAACCGATATCCAAAATTCAGTTAATTCCACGCTGCTAAATTTTGTGTTCAACGTATTGTCGCCAGACAACTCAATAAGAATCTTTTCTTCCGCAGCAGTAAATTCGGATGGAACACCGGCATTAAATGGATCTTGAATTCGTGCAAATTTACCGATATAATCATTTTGAAAATACCTCTCAAACCGGGTGATAGGCTGTAATAAAAGGTTTTCGAAAATTGATTTCATACCTGGAGAGAAATCAACTCCATTGGCAGTCGAACACTGTCGCAACAAGGGCATGCATTCTTTTCATTTGTCTTTTCCATAGTTTTAATTTTTTTTATGAAAGCTGAAATTTTCTCAACCGACTTTAAAAGGTGCGTGTCGCTTACCCGCAGAGAGAGATTCGGAGCATTCGGCTTTTCAATAATATCGCATAAATATGCTAGTTTTACCAAAAAATCTTCATTCGCCAAATTTTAGACACGCTTGTGGTCTTCTTCCTCTAGATAAAAAATATAAATTTACTGTCTCAGTTCAAACGCGCCAGACAAAACATTACCACGAGAGAGCCATTGCGAAGTGTTGTGGTAGAAACAAGACGTGCGCTCGCGTCCCGTATCGTCGCATAGTTTTTTGAAAATCTTGCCTTCGGCCGAGTTTTATAAAGTACAGTATACTGTATTTACCACATATTCTAAGACCCAGTTCGATGTATGACTCGGATATTTTGATGCCAGTGCTCCCCTTTAAATAACGCCATGGGTTCGCATACATTGGGAATCTTCGCTTCGAAAAAGTGCTCGCAATCCTCCGTAACACCCGAACATGGGACGAACGTCATCGGTACAGATACCAACGCATTTGGTCCACTCCAAATTATTTTCGGATATAAAAATATTAAGGATCGCGAAGGTGAAAATATTAGGCCTTAACACCAGCTGTGATACTTTTGCAAAAGAGTCTTCTACAATGTTATTACTATCTATAAACTGTAAATAGCAAATCGAGTGAGCTTCATTCTTATTATCTGTGTCTTCATCCTGCTGCTACCCAAATTCCTTCCTTTTATTTTTTCGATTAAAACCAAAGAAGGCATCTGGGCCGGATAGGGTGAAGGGACGGTTGGTCGAGGAAACATTTGTTACTATTCTCACCACGTTCGTTACTCTGTTTAACCGTTGTCTAACGCGGGGCTACTTTCCACGTTCCACGTAACGACTACGGTAAAATTCGTACCAAAAACGTCAAATAAGAGTCCTAGCGAATTTCGTCCTATTTACCTTCTGCCTGTCATTGGTAAATTACTAGATAAGCTTCTAATTAGCGGGGTCTCGAAACACCTCCGTAAGAACAATCTCCTAAGCCCTCGCTAACACGAGTTTACCCCGGGGCAAGTCTACGATCACAGCAATATCCGCGGCACTCGATCGTGTCGAAAAGGCCAAAATAGCGAGAAAACACACTTTACCCATCAGTATCGACTACAGACTCGGACAACCTCTGGTGGACGGCAATTCTACAGCAATTACCATACTACGATTGTCCGCAAAATCTTTTCAACCTGACGAGCTGCTTCTCGCACGAAAGCCAAGTTGGTTATTACGGCAATAACACCACCCTTATCCATCTTGTTCCGAAGGGCTGCCCTCGGGGTTCCACGGCCATCCGGGCCTATGGATAGCCCTATACAATAACTTTCTCGAATCACTAAACACAAGTAGTGACTATTTGATACAAGGCTACGCGGACGATACGATTGCACTAATTAGTGATCAAAATTGCGACCACCTCCAAATTATCTGTAATTGGCTGCATCGTCGCGTCTTTTCCTGGAGCGGAGATCGTAAATTACCAGTCAATCTCGACAAGTGCAAATATATAATATTCTCTAAGAAGACATCTCCGCAGAAAACTCCGCATCACCATCCAGAAAATAAGAATACCGAGGGTTAAGGATACGATTTACCTAAGTGTAATCTTGTACGAAACATCGTAACATCGAAACATTGTTGATTTTTAAGCGAGGAGCGGTTTCGCTCCTTGGAAGAAACATTGTAAACCACGTTTGTGCCAGAGTTAACCAAGTGGCCAATATCCTCCCTAGCATCTCTCGGAACATCTGGAGGCTATCCAGTTTATCCCGCTATATATGTCCCCCATTTGGGCCAAGGCCACTTTTAATCAACGCATCCGCAGAGAGCTCTTTAAAGTCGGGCCGCTTTGATAATTTGTCGGGTTTACCACACGGCCATTACTTCGGCTCTCCTTCATCGCGGGACTCGCACCCATTTATCCGAAGGCTAGGGCGGTCGTGTGGCTCCGGAACCTCACCCGCAAGACCAACTCGATGGGCACGTATACGTCAATCCACAATACAAAGACCATTCCTAATCTCATCGAAGAGCAATATTTTGACATCGACGAATATAGTATCGAAAGCGAGAAGACTGGCACTTACATCTTAGAGTATGACCCTAATATATACGACGTTCTACCACCGCCAGATACCCACTACGATGCGTTCATTTTTACTGATCTAAACGGGACAGTAATGCGGGCGCCGCCTTCGTAACAAGAATGGAGTTAAACCACGCGGATCCGCTTTCAAATTGGGACCCATCTGGACTGTCCCACGAGCCGAGATTTACGCGATTAAGCGTGCAGTGACGCTCACGAGAACTGGTTTGCTCAAAATATTTGTTTTTGCTCGTAAGCTCCCCCTACCCTTTTTACTTTTCCTTTTGTTCTTCTTTTCCCGCCTTTTTCTTTAGACGTGGATGAATGTGAGAAGTTGTAATGTTTATATATGTTCCTTTTGTGTTTAAATAAAAGTTTTTGTTAACTATAACAGTGTGTGTTTGAGGTTCTGATATCGAGTTTCAACAAAGACCAACCTTTGACACCACCCAAGTCTTGACGGAACACGGCGAGCTGTCCCTCGATGTTGGGGACAGCCTCCATCTAATCTTCGCCTACTCCAAATTCGCCAGCCAACGCCATTAGAGAGGTTGAGGCGCACGTTTTAAACGTGTAAACGTGTACGTGTGACGTTCGGCGCCGCTTTCCCGTAAGCCTAAAAGTTTGACAATGGTGTTTGGATAGTCGGTGGAATCACGCTCGACATTCCAAACACCATCGTCAAACTTTTAGGCTTACGGGAAAGCGGCGCCGAACGTCACACGTACACGTTTACACGTTTAAAACGTGCGCCTCAACCTCTCTATTCACTTACGGAAACAATACTTTACAGAGGACAAAACCGACCAGGCAATTCAAACTTCCTCATCGACGATTTCTTAATGTGGACCGAAACTTTAGATCCCACCAGCGAGCAGCCTTAGTAGACAGTCGAGTAGCGCATCCCAATCTAGAGGACGATAATATTAAAATCCGAGTTGGTTTTACGTACGCTCTACCATCCGTGTTTATACTATATTTATGCCAACCATCTAATACTGACTTACCGATGCTTATTAAATGTGCCCACCTTCTCCAGTCATTGTTTACGTTAATTTAGTTGTAATCTTCTGTTATATATCATATATCGATGTAATAGAAATAATGTTTATATGTTTTGTAAACTTCCCCCATCAAAACCCTATAAAATAGCTCAATATTCATCCCTTTCTCTACTCACTAGCATACTCCCTCTTCCTTACCCCCATTTCCATCCTAGGTTACACCTACCAGTGGCACCCGTTTCATCAACTTTCTAAATAAAGGTAAACAAAGGCAGGGAGAACGGGCCCTTTAAAGGAAAACTCGGACGGGAGACCGGCCCCACCTTTTCCGGAAACCGGAACGGGTCAGAGAATCCGATCGGCCAGAAGATGGGGCGTGTTTTCGCGGGCCGAGGAAGAAAGACTGCGGCGCGGCCGGTTTGGTAGGGGAGAAAGAAGAGAGGGCTCACTTGTTGTACAGCACGATATCCGGCAGCCAGATCTGCTCGGCAGGAACGTAGAGTTGCTGCACTCCTCCGTACTCTTCGGGATCCCACATCAATTTATGGTCCGACCATTTCTAATTAAGAAGAGAGAAACAATAAGGCAAGAGGCGTCGGACGTACGGTACGGTACTCGCGTACGTAACATTTGGACCATCCGACCCGAGTGAGAAAAAGTTTTTCCATTTTTGCACCCAACGCGTAAGATGACAAGGTTCCGACCGTATTCCGTAAGGAACACCGTCGACCGGGCTACCGTACGAACAATACACAAATTAAATTTCATTGTTTTCTTTGTTAAAATCGCCGTTCTCTTCTATCGATCTACCGGGAAATTTCGACACCGATTAAGCCAATTAAAAGGACGATTCTGTAACTAACAAATATATTTATGCCAGTTACATTATTTATTTTTACGAGTAAATATAGAAGTCTGGAAGGAAGGCCTACCCCGAAAGCAAAGACGACAATTACGTAACATTAAAAATACGTTACGTCATACATCGGATACGACTTGAAAAACATGTAAAAGTTGTGGGAAAGAAAGTTTTCCGAGAACCGCTTTTCTTGGCTGCGGATTATTCTCGTCGACCGGTCGAGGCTACCCTCGGCCCCGCGGCACCGAACTCGGGTTTATTAAGTACCCCACCCGCGCCCTTTCTAAGGCCCGGCCAAGTCGAAGGCGGTACGCGACTTTAGCCGTAACGGCGCCCTTTCCGTCCTTTCTCCGTCCGGGCGCAAAGTTTACCTTCGGACGCCGCCGGGAGAACACCTCCGTCGAGAAACGTCTCCCTCGGGGCCCGGCGGGCCGACATTCGGAAGAGTCCGGGCGCGGACGGGAAGACGAAACCCGGAGCCGGACCCTCGGGCGCGGAGCCCACCTGAGGCCCGGCGGGCCGGGTAGAAATTTCGAGCGCGCGAGGTGGAGGCGAAAAAAGAGAGGAGCTCACCTGCGTGACCCAGACGTTGGTGGTCATAATCTGGTTCTTCAGGTTCTGTCGAAGAGAAAAAACAACGGTTTCAGAAAAACACCGGGATGGCCTTTGGGGAAGGCTTTACCGCGCGCGGGCCACGGGCGGGAGGAGTCGGCGTCCGGACAAAAAGCCGGAGCGGCGGAGAAGAAAGAAGCCGGGGCCCGGCCGATTTTCCTTTCGTCGGAGCCCGGGGGAAGGGAAAGGTAAGACGGGGTGATCGGTCACTTTTCGATTTCCGTCCGAGTGGGCAAAGGGTTCCGACCGACACGGATGCCGGATGGGGGAATTTAAGGGCCCGACCGGGAAGGAAACACCGAGTCCCATCGAGTCTTTGGTCGCTCCCGGTTAAAATAGGCTTTTCCGTCCGGCTCCGGAGTGGGAAGGCGGAGAGGAAGTCGAAGGACGGTTTCTCGGACCGACGGCTTTCTCCGCATCCGTCCGCCGTCTTTTTATTCTTCTAGACCCTTCCCCTCTGCCGGGGCTTCTGGGTCCCGAGAAAGAGAAATAAATTTCCATTATCCGTCCGACCGAAAAAAGGTGGACCGCGCCGTTCCCGCGGAGGCTGCAGAGAATCGACCCCCCCCGCGGGTAGACGGTGGTCGGCTGACGGCGGATAGTCGATCGATTTCGACGACGACGACCGGGAAGATGCCGTGGGAATGCTTTTTTGCGCTCTTTTCTTCCCGGTCGGCCGTCGTCGCCCCTTTCCACAGTCCCGCCCGAGGAAGATTCCTCCTCCTTCCTGGCGGTGGCGCCACTTCCGTCCGTATATAACCGGCGGCCTTTTCCGCCCGGGGAAGAAACGGAGTTTCGGTCCGGTAATTTCCGGTTTATTTCGTTCCATCCCTCGCCCTCCTCTTATTACCCCGTCCGAAATCGTCCGCTCGCGCGCATCCCGCCAAAAACGGCGCCCGCCTCCGCCGCCCGGGGATGGTGCGGACGACGCCGTCGCGCCGTCGGTAAAGATCGAACCGGCTCTTCCTTTCGGATAAGGGGATGCGGACGAGTAGGGCGGCGGACCGCAGTCCTACTGCGGCGATAACCGCCGCATCCGGGCATTGGGCCGGATCTCCGGGCCCGCCCCGGACCGGGAGAGCCCGGACTTCCGGAGGCTTCTTAAGTCAGCGGAAGGGTACGGTCCCACCCCGGCGGGGAGAAAGCGGAGAAAGAACTTCTCTCCAGCTTCTTCCTTCGGCCCGAGGGAGGCGGGCGGCGGGGGGGGGCGCGAGGAAGGAAGAGGAAGAGACTCACCACGTCGATGAGCTGGGAGAGTTTGAGGCCCATCTTGACGGTGAGGGTGTCGGTGTTGTTGGTCACGGGTCGGATGAGTCGGTTGTAGCTGCTCATCAGGTCGTCGTACAGCCTCTTGGCGTCGGGGTTGGCCCGGGCCCAGGCCCAGGCCAGCAGCAGGCACAGAAGCGTGCCCGGATGCATCTCCGGCGGCCCGCTCCTTCCGTCCGCTGGGCTGCGCTGCGCTTCGGCCTGTCGGCCCGCCGCCGCCGCCTCCGATGGCCGGCGCCCTCTGGCGGAGAGAAAGCCAGACCGGAAGAGACGGCCGAGGCCGGCCTCGCTTTCGATCCGGCCGGGTCGTCCGCATTCCGACGACGGGAGGAGGAGGAGGAGGAGGAAAAGACTTCCGTGGCAGACCGAGAACGGCGGTGGAAGCGCGGAGCGGAGAGTCGGAAGCGATGGTCCGTAGCCCGGCTTGCGCCGGGCCGGGCCGGGTGCGCGGGCGGAAGAAGGATCCCGAGGATGGACGAGTTTGGCGCGGGCGGTGGTGGAGGTGGGAGGAGGACGAGAGTAAAAAGAAAGGTCAAGACGCGTTTTCCTTCGGTCCAGACGCGGACAGAATCGACCGGTCGGAGGGAACGACGGTCGTCTTTGGTTTGGCGCCGGAGGGGGAGGCTGGAGATTGGAGCGGATCGCTTTCATTCCGGGAATCCTTTCGAATACGGAAAAGCGCCGCCGGGTTTTTAAGGACGGCCGAAAAAAGTTTCCTCCACTTTTTAGAGTGTAGCGGTTTACCGTTTGCCCGGCATTAATACGGCGAAATTTACGGAATGAACGGCGGCGGCAACACCCGAAAAATAGTTTAACGGACCGTCCGTTAAACTATTTTTCGGGTGTTGCCGCCGCCGTTCATTAAAATGTAACGACAGCCGGGTAAACGCCTGGGAAAAACGCGGCGACAGACGTTTTTCGGTGTCGTTCGGCGCGCCGGATTAGCGGATTATCGGTGGCCTGGGAAAAGCGGAGCTTTAGGCAAAGAGCCATTTTACCACCGGTACCCAATTTTTGAACCGGCCCCCGCCGTCGATAAATTCAAGTACCCCGCCGGCAGTTTGGGTGGGTAATAAGTCGACTCCACCGGGTAGACGCGTACGGCTCGTGGCCGATATATTAAAGGGTGGCCGAGACAATTTGTCTCCTATAAAAAGGTAGAATGGAACCCGGAATTCCCGATTGGATAATTATGGCCCCGCTCCACCCGAGTTCGTTCGGCTTCCGTCCCGTCTTTAAAATTCGTTTTTCTTCTCCATTTTTCTTCGCGCACCGCGCCCGGAGAATACGCTTCTTCGGTGGCCGTCGAAGGGAAACGAGTGCACCCGAGCAGCGCCCACTCGAAAGGGGAGCCGAAAATGCATATATTTGTTTTATTATTTTCTCAAACCTAATTAATTAAGGGGCCCAAACGCCAGTTCTTACACGGGACACGGGAATGGCTAGTTACGGCATTGGGAAAAAGTATCGGCTGGGCGGTGATTCGTTTCGTAGGGACGTTTTTATATGGAAGACGTTTCCCGTCGATTGGTGGAAAATGGGTTTTCGTCCCACGTTTAATTTGAATTTACCAATTATAAATCGACGTTTAAAAGCCGGCGGCCGGGAGACGGAAACTCGTCCGTATCCAACGAAGAATACTTTAAGAAAAAATAGACAAGTTGCGGCCGAAGTTTTCGTCTTTAAAACGCCAACGTCGAACGTCGAGCGCCTCATACAAGACTGCTGAGTTCGACGTTCGACGTTGGCGTTTTAAAGACGAAAACTTGGGACGCAACCTGGCTAATAAAGACGGAGATTTTACGTAAATCCGGAGAATAGTTTTTATCTTTAGGAGTCGTGGCCGAAAAATCGGATTTTAACCCTAAGGTCGCTCCGATAAACCGGTGGAGTGGGAGGAGGACAACAGCCTCTTTTTTTATGCCGATAGAAATCCGTCGACGGACGATTCTTGGCGGCGGAAGGTACGACGGGGAAGGGAGGAAAGAATCGACGAGCGATTGAGCGGGTTCGGGCGGAGAATAGAAAAAGGAGAGACCGACTTTCCCCTTCTCCGAAATCTACCCGGAAGACTTCCTCTCTTCGACTGTCGGCTCGAACACCGACTGTCCAGGGCCCTTTTCTCGGACGCCGGTTCTTAATCGGGCGGCGGCGAAGGAAGGCGGGTGGATAAATTTTCCGCCCGGCGCCGGAAAGGGCAAAAACGCTCTTTTTCTTTCCCGGACGCCTTTCGGCCTTCGACCTAACCACTTTTTCCTTTCCGGGGCTTCTCCCCGCTCAAAGGCTTTCGACCTCGAGCTTTCGGACGCCTTCTCCTCCCGGGAAGCGGGAGACTCGTCCGTCGGGGAGGTGAAGACCCGGAAGTGTTTTCCGGCAAAGACCGGCGTCGTCGGTCCCAAACGGTAAGCTCCCGTTTTACCGTTTCGGAGTAACCTTTTAACCGAGTAAATCTCTAACCCACAATCGAACATTGAAGTTATATCTCAACCTGAAAAAGCTCTTCTCATACCGTTTTATAAATAAATCGTAAATGCTAATGGCGATAAAAATCTTTGTTAAGTCCCATCCCTCTCGAGATACGACGCCCGAACACTGTCTATCCTTCCATCCCGCCGCCTTTAACCGCCAAAATCTAATAGGATCCATGGCCTAATTCCAAACCTTCCCGCAAATTTCAGAAAATTTCCATACAAAGTGTCGGGAATGGTCCAATAAGACGCAAGATTCGAATTTATCGGTCAAAATTTATTTCGTCCCCTTTAAAGTAATCTTCTCTCATCGCCCGGCACTGGCGCCAACCATTTTTTTCAATCCTGGAAACACTCTTTAAAGCCGCTTTGGCCCAACCCCCGGGAACTGGCAGTAAATTTTGTTTTACGGCATCGATCGATTAGAAACGGCGGAAAGTTTAGTCCGGGAAACGGAGTAAACGGTGCGAGTACGGAGCTGGCGGGATCGATTATATTTGTGCAATTTTTGTCTAAAAGTTGAGCAACGAGACGAGCGCGGCCGACGGATGCGTTATCGTACCGCGGCCCCATCGGGCGGTTTTCTACCAATCGCTTCCGGCAAACGACGCAAAACGCTCAAATAATATTCCTGGTCGACAGTTTGGCCAGTCGGAAGGAATTGGCGTGGCGCAACACCGCGACGATCGACGGTCCGGCGCCATTGGCCGGATGGTCGAAAGCGGAGATCCACCTTTCTTGGCCCGGAAAAAGAATTTCCTCGGCCAGTCGAATATGTCCGGCCGCCATCGTCCACCAATAAATTCTCGCCGTCGTTCTTATTTAAATTGGAGAACGGAGTTAGATTAATCAAAGTCGAGACCGGATACGGAAAACTTAGGGGCGGGAGGGAGCTTTCCATCGATTATATACGAATTTTCCGTCCCGACCGGAAGCCACGTCATTTGAATTAAACCTTTTCCCCGGAACGGAATTACGTAAATGACCGGCACGGCTCTCTGGTTATCGGGAAAGTATGACGTACTGTACGGGGCAAGATCCTACTAATTTAAAATATATTTAAATTAGTAGTATAATTAATAAATTGATTATAAATACGATGGAAAGCCACGGCCCGGCAATAATTTTTGCCGGTTGTTTTCGTGACGAAGCCGGGCTCGGCAATCCCCAAACGATCTTCTAAAATTGCTCGATTCCGGGACGTGTTTAATAATGTCCGTCGTCGTTAAACGACGATGGCGGTCCGAGTGGACGGTCTCCGCCTTCCTCCGACATCTCGTACCCGATGTTCCCTGTCATTTTTTTTGTCCATGAGTGGAACATATACTTCTCTGAGCAAAAAAATTTTTGCTGAGTATATATATATATATATAGCCTATAAAATCTTAGTTTTTTCTATAAAAATTAAAATTATTAGTTATAAAGTAGAGGTTAAAATTCATTTTCAAACATATTTTATACAAAATATTATCTCTTGTCAATGACTTAATGTACAGTTATACCCCGACTTAGGCGATTTTCAAATCCCGTCGATTCGTCTTTTGTTTGAGCGGCACGCGGCTCTCGATTACTCACTCCCCTCACTCCTTATATAACGGCAAAACTAAGTTTTGATTTAACTTTTCTGGAAAAATGCCGTTTTCCAAAGATTTATTTATCGGGTACGATAACGGTTGGGTTAAGATGTCTGACATATATTTTAGAATTTCGTTATTTAAAAAATGAATGTCCGGAGAACTGTTTTTCCAGCCCATTATAGTATTATAGACCTGTAGGGAAGTCGTGTTTTCCAAAAACAAAGTATTAGATATACAGGCGTTTGTTACACGTTACTTGGAGTCGACGCTGCCGCAAATATCTGGTGCCAAACCCTTGGTGGATCCGTAGTGCTCGGCAAAGACGTTACCAATTCGTGTAGTGGCCATTAGTTGCTTTCCCCTTATAATTTTAACTTTGTTCTTTGTCTCGATTACCCCGGAGGGTAAGGTTTTAATTGTTTTCCAGAAATCACAAGGGGAGTTAATGTTAGAAAACAAAACACTGTAGTAGTTATTCCGAATTTGTTTATTCGAGTTATTTATATCCTCTAAGTACATTACTTGTTTCGATCTTCGAGAGTTTTCCATTTTCTATTCTTAACTTTCTTCCGTTATATTAATGTCAACGGGCGATCGGATATAAAATTCTTTAGGATTGCTTTCCTGCTAATTCTGCTTTTTTACATATTCTTTCTTCGAAAGATATTTGTCAATAAAAACCGGTAAAATAGTATATAAGTAGTCGGCTAATTGGTCGGTTGTCAAACTTTGAGTATAAAAATAATTGCGGGTAAAACGTGACGACGGAGCATTTGATAAACGGTAAATGGAGAAGTTATTGATTTTTCTGTAGGTGGCTTTCCTCTTCATTTCCTTATCGAGATCTTTCTCGGGAGTAAAGACGACGATGGGTAGATGATCGGAGACGGAATTTCGGTCTATTAAGAATGCGCACTCGCTGTCATTTGTTAGACCGTAGTCTATCCAGGTGTGAGTATTTTACCGTATCCGACAGGCCGATCGATTCGGCCAGAATCGTTCGATTTTCTGCCAATCGTAGGCTTATCGATTCGGAGGTGTCCGAAGAGTTTTTTTTAAGAAAATCGATGCCGAAATCTCTAATTATTTGTATTTATATTTTCCACATTTAGTTGATTTATAAAATAATATATCATTTATAACATGGAGGAAAGTTCCTTAGTCTGTAGACGGGGAACGATAGATTATCGCCGTCGTCGACTTACCAACAACTATCGTAACTATATTTACATAGTTCTTTGCCAAAGTTAAACCTGGTATTACTTCGTAACTTTTATTACTATGTATACGTAATACCATGCCTCCGTGTTGATTGTCTTCTTTCCATTCGTTCTTGTCGGTAATCTTTTATTTTTGGTGGAGGATTTTCGTCGTCTGTCCCAGCCTGGCAAAAAGCCAGTACTGTACGTCAAAATTACAATCGTATTCCTCCGTTGTTTTTAGTATTTCTAAATATTTCTTATTCAAACCTCTTACCTTGCAATAAAACACCAATAAACCCCTTCTAGAGAAATCAACTGTTTTTCTACGTATCGATAATTCAGTCGTTCCGGAAAATTTTCTCAATACTTTCCAATGTTGGTGTCCGAATTGGAGGGAAAGAAGAATCCTTTTTGAAAGTACATTTCCATTATTTGTCCGTGTATTACGTTATCGGCCAAACCCGACTTCGGGCCAAACGGGTTTATCCTACGCGTGTCGGGATATACTAGTTTATCCCAGGAGAATCTAGTTCGACTAAATACTTTTTTTTTAAAACTCTTTCCGCCCCGTGGACGCTAAGAGGGCCTCTTTTTGCCAGCCCATTACGGGTTGGGCCAGACCCACAATGGGGCTGCCGGGTGGCGAGGGACGGGGTCCGACATATCCGAACGGACCACCCCCAGGAAACCGGATTCGAATCCGAACGGGTGGAAAAATTCCTGGGGATGTTTGGACCCGTTCGGATTCAAACCCGGGTCCCAGAGCGATAGGCTGCCACCTCGACCGCTCGGCCATCCGGCCGCTTTTGTTATTTATAAGGGGAGAGCGCCAGCGCAATCCCCGGCTACAACAAATTACACGCCCCATCTACTCCATTTTGGGGTAGTGGCAGGGGTCGGCCAGACCCGAGTGCAATGGTCGAGCCTGACCCCGGGGGAGCCGACATTTTTCGTGCCGCCGAACGACCGGCGGCACGAAAAATGTCGGTATAAAAGCCACGACTTTTCTCGACGGTCTATCTTAATTTACGGCCGATTAAAATGGAGTAGTTTTCGGCCCCGAAAGTACTCGGACCCTGTTACCGTCCGAAAGACAATCGCTTTCCCCGTGGCCACCGAAAACTCCGTAGAAACTAGAAAAGTACGTAACGGACGTACGACTTCTCCGGGAATAAGGCCGAGACTCCGCTAGCGTAAAAACCCGGCCCTAAATACTTTTAATGGCGTGACCTATTTGCCTCCGCGCTGGGACGGCGGCCGCCCTTGGGCTCCGCTAGGCCAGTTACGGCTCTATAGACGATATATCGTGATTAAAAGTATTTACGGCCGGACTAGCGGCCTCTCGGCCTAACTGTTTTTTAACAGCCACCGGAAAATGTGCCGTAATTACCTTCCGTCCGGGTGGGATGTCGGAAGCCGGACCGCGCTACGGACGAACTTCCGCTTTGTCGGAGAGACACCCGGGCAAAAAATAGAAGATACTCCCGACATTTTCCCACCTCGGTAAAAAGAAGCCGGGGTCTTTGGATAAAGCGGCAAAATCGAGTATTCGGAAGATCCGGAGTACGCCCAGTTTTTTAAAAGCTTTTCTGCCACAAATATTGGCCAAACGCCCGAAAACTTTCGGTTAAACAAAACAAATGCTAAAAATTGCCTATCAATTTTATAACGTTGGGTAACAACGCAAATAAATTTTTCTCTCCGTTTATTAATTAGTTTTATTTCGGTCGAACTTAACGCCGGCCGAAACCCGGGCTAAACGGCCACAGAATTTACGACTTTCCACCGTAAAGACCCTTAACCAGCGCGAGTAATAAAAACGATAAATAAAACGCGGCGCCTGGAACGGTCGGATCGGACGCCTAGGCGGCGCTTTTGTAAACTTTGCCCATCCCTCCCGAGAAACCGTCGGCGGAGAATCGTAAGCGAATGTCTCGTAGTATTTAACGCGCCGGCCGTTAGTTTACGCGGCGCCACCGTTCCCGGTTTATCCATCCGCCGGCTCCGAAGTAAGTGGCCCAACTCCGTCCGGGGCCGAGATTTCGCCTATCTTCCGTCGGGTTAGGGGCCTAAGTCTGACCGAAACCCGTTTTCCCCCCATTTAACGCCATTACTACCGGCCCGGAACCCCAGGCGTAATTACGACTTTTCGGCTGTCGTTTAAAGGCCGCAAAAGGCCGCGTTTGTCGAAAGTAACGCCATTTTATTCCTCGTTAGTGGTTAATGCGGATAAATTTTCGCCCGAGAGGGGGTGGTACGCCCACCCTCCGGGAACGCCCGTATTTACTTCCCGTAGACGAAAATAATTATCCATTAGGTTACGCGGTAATAACAATAATAGAGGACACCGCGAAAATAAAAATTACGAAAAAGGAGACGGCGTTTTCCCCTCCTATCTTCCAACAGAAAAGACAAAATCGGTCCGTTTTCGCCCGGCGAAAAACCACCCCGCCCACCGGAACGACCCGGTGCCCCGAATACTCGGAGTAAGCGGAGATTTACCGTATTCCGTTACCTCAAAGTCCGTTTAAGGTATAATCGCCTACCTTACGGCCGAATTAAATCGGGCCTATTTAATTTACCGAGCAAAATATTGCCGTCCGCCGCCTCGAAAGCTTTACGTAAGTCCGTAAAAACTCTTTCGATTAGTCGGCTGGTAAGGCACGGTACAGTACGTACCGCGTACGGTACGTACGATAACGGAGAGAAGCGCAAAAAGTAGAGGCCATCCGACTTTTAATTTTTTAAACTCTTTTTAACAAATCTTTTCCCGTCGATTCTTTCGACGTCACAAAACATCGTATACGTAACAGCGCTCTGGCACGCGAGAATTATTACGTCCTACCAAACCGCGTGGGAAAAATTACCCGTTTTAACAGACGGGTTAAAAACGTATAGTACGTGGCGTTTTAAGATTTTCTACGTTTACTCGGTCCCCACCGTTTTTAAAGGCTCGATTGATATCTTTATTTCTTTAAAAGAAGGATTTGTCTGATTGGTTCCCGTTCGGGAGGGCCGAATTACCGTCGGAGAAATATCGATGGGAGTCTTTAGCTCGGCCGCGGAACGTACCGAGGACATTTACCGCACCGGTATTCGAAACGGTTATTTTACGCCTATATGGGAAGACACTCGGTCCGTAGCCACAATTAGGCCGCTTTAGCCGGACGTAATTTCTTTCTCGTCTGCGTAAGTAGCATTTTTCCAATTCCTTAGTTCATGGCTTTATTTGGCGCCCGCCACCTTCGACGGCGTATTCTCTACCGTTTCCGTCAGCGGTTTCTTCTCTTTATAAATTTTTCGGGTCCACCTTTCCGCCTTTTATATTTACGCTCTTTCGGTAACCGGTACGTTAACAGTCGCTCGACCCGGTCGATCGAATAAAAGTTGTTCCCCTCGACGTCGGGTGAAAGTTTCCTCCGGTGTCCCGGACAACCCTTAGTTTACCCACGGTAACGGCAGTTTAGTCGGATTATACTTCTTCCCCTCTCTCCGCTAACGACGCCTTTCTTAAATTCTACGGGCGGCCCAAGACCACTCTCCGGCCTCGGCTTTAGTCACCTTCGACCTTTACGGCCCGCGTCAGAAATTCGATATTCGCCGGGGGCCAAAAAGTGGCCTTCCGGTTTTCTCCCCGGTCGACCGGAAACGACGGCAGAGCGGCGCCGGAACCGGATCGATAGACCGGGCGGGAGGAGGAAGCGACGCTTCTCTTCCGTTCTTCGTTACATACAAAATGGAGTTTTTGTCCCAAATTCTCGGCAGTTTCCGTCCTCGGCCCCCGCCCAATTCGGCGGGGGATCCTCCCCTTTTATTGCGCCGGTCGGCCCACTCCAGAAAAATGTAGTTTTTAGTCCGGAGAATTCCTTCCGTTTCCGGAGACGCCATCTTTTCCGTAATAACCGCGCGGGCGGAGGAAACTTCGGTCTTTCTTCCCGCGCTCGGAATCGACCGCTTTCTGCCTCGGCGGACGACGGGAAAATTCTCGGGCTGCGTCGGCTCCGCTCGCCCCCTCGTTCCTCCGTTCGAACCAGGAGAACTTCCGACCTCCCGGAAGACGGCGGCGCCCGGAATCGAACGGCACCGCGGAGCGGAGGAGGCGGTCGACGGAAGCGCCTCTCGGCCGGAGCGGCCGTCGACGGGCGGCGCAGATGGGCGCGGGAGGCAACGCCGCTCGGTACCGGGCCCTGGTGTGGCTGTGGGCCCTGTGGCCCGCCCGGGCCGGGGCCAGTTCCGACGCCAAGAGACTCTACGACGACCTGATCAACGGCTACAACTCGCTCATTCGCCCGGTGGGCAACACCTCCGACCGGCTGACGGTCAAGCTGGGCCTCAAACTGTCGCAGCTGATCGACGTGGTGAGTCCGACGTTTCTCCCTTTCTTCTTCTTTCCGTTTCCCCTCTGACACTCCGTTTCTCTCAGAACCTCAAGCACCAGATCATGACCACCAACGTCTGGGTTGAACAGGTGAGTTTCGGGCCCGGGAGGCTGCCGGTCTTTCTTTCTCACCTTCGACTCCTTTCAGGAGTGGAACGACTACAAGCTGCGATGGGATCCCGAGGAGTACGGGGGCGTCTCCAAGCTGCACGTGCCGGCCGAACAGATCTGGCTGCCCGACATCGTCCTTTACAACAAGTGAGTGACCCGGAAAGGATCCACCCTCCCGCGATGGAAAGGCGGCGCGCCGGCGGAAAGAGAGGGGCTGTCGAGCGCGGCGGCGGGGGAGGAAGAGCCTCCGCCGCTCGGACGGGTAGGAGGTCCGATGCCGCGGAGGGGCGCGGCGCCCGGGGTCTCTTCCGCCGGCGGCGACTTTGGACGGGCGGAGAAGCCGCGGCCCGTTCTTTAACCCGGAAGCGTTTTTCCGTCGTTTCAGCGCCGACGGCAACTACGAGGTGACCATGATGACCAAGGCCATGCTGCACGCCGACGGTCAGGTGAAGTGGAAGCCCCCGGCCATCTACAAGAGCTCGTGCGAGATCAACGTCGAGTATTTCCCTTTCGACGAGCAGAACTGCTTCATGAAGTTCGGATCGTGGACCTACGACGGATACACGGTGAGTCTGTCCTCCTCCGCTCGGGAGACGGTCGCCCGACTCTTCTCCAGTTGCGGACGACGGCGGAACGGGCGCCGAGGTGGAGGGCGGAGGACCGACATTCTCTCCCGGTCTATTTTTAACAAAGGTCCGGGAGGGAGAGGCGCCCTTTCCGCAATTAGACCGGAGGCGACGAAGAGCGCCGTGGGGATCGGTATTAAAAAGATCTAGGTTATGCGGGCGGATACGCTTTTTCTCCGAAATCCGACGGTGGGTTTTACCTCGGTAATTTCTCGGTAGATTTGTGCCGGGAGACGATCCTCGCCTCTTTCTTTTGTCTTTTCCATCCCGGAACTGAGATTACGGACGGAAATCAAATCCGCGGCGGGACGGCCAACCCCGACCCACCCACGCACCTGGAAGACGAGAAGCCGACGGTCGGCATTCCTTCCCGACGTCTTCCGCCGATTTCCGGATGCCGGTGGCCCGGCGGAAGGATCGGAAGGTAACGGGCGAGGGAATTGGGTTCTTTTTCCACTCGGCTTCCGAAAACAAAGTAGTTCCCGTTTGCCGGAGTTGATCGGAGACGGTCGGAGGGGGCTTCTTATTCCGACGAAAGAATTGCCCGCGGCATTTTTTCCCGAGATCGACATTCTTAATTCATCCGCCGAGGAACGGACCGGAACACTTAAGAAGAAGCCAGGCGACACTTGTACATAAAAATCTACCGGCGCAAAAGAGAGAACGTTCCGATATCCGGGGACGACCTCTGGCGCCTAAATCCCTTCCACCCGTTTTGCAGTAGGAATCGATCGGACCGGGGAAAATGCGGAGGAGACGATCGATCGGCCGCCGTGACGGCGCGGGTACGGATAATTTCTGGCGGAAGGTGAACGGCTCGCTCTTATTTGAGGGGAGGACAACCGGTCCAGGGCCACCGGCTCAAATAACAGCGGTTCGGTGGAATGGACCGCCGTAACCAAATCGTCGGCTATCGACGTCTGAAACGAGGAAACCAAAATGCGCAAAGTTTTACCTAGAAGACGGGAAAAGACCGGATTTTTCCCGTTAGCCGTGTCAAAGGAACAGCCCGGAAGATGGGGAGGAGCGAGTCCCCTCCCGCCTTTGCCAAACGGAAAAAAGACGCAATTCGCTTGCCTTTTTTTCTTTTCCGCTTTCTTTCTCTTCTTAAGTCTGTAACGAAACGCGTCCCCAGGGAAGGGTCCGGCGCCGGGCATCGAATATTCCGGAGGAAATAAGCGCCGGTAGACCGGTCCCGGAAGAGTTTCCCGGACAACCAATTAAGTCGGGAATGAAGAGTGGCCGCGTACGTTCGGAGGAAAATAAGCCCGGCCGACGGAGACCGGCTCTTTCTCGGCTTGCTCCCACTCGCCACCGGCCCGCCGGGAATCCTCCTCCCGGTGGCCCGTGGCGGGTGGGAGAAAGCCGTCCCTAATCCCGGTCCCGTTGGCCAATTTCCTTTCCGTTCGGTCGATTTCCTTCCCGAGATTTTCTCTTCCGTTTGACAAATCTAATCGTTGGCTCCTCGTCCCGGTAAATTGATCCTCCCTTTCCCTTCCCCCGGGATCCCCTCGTCCTCTTCTACCTTTTCCCCCTTCTTCGGACCCGAAGGGATCCCCTTCCGCCCGGACCGAAAATAACCGTTTCGAAATTGCCGAATAAACACATTATCTCCTGTTTTCGCCGGTTAAGTCCCGGAGAAGGATCTCCTCTTCGCCCGGCTCGTCTCCTCCCCACCCCTAATCGCCTTCCCGTCTGGGACCTCGACTTTCCTCCTATTTTCCAACCTCTCTATCGGAGTAATTTCCACACTTTTCTCTTCCCCGTCGCTTCGTCCCCACAAATTAATTCCCAACGTCGCCTTCTCTTTTTCTTCCGCTCGCCGTTCCCGTTTTCCGAGAACCCCTTTTACACGACTTTTAGGCGTCGCTCCGAGCTTTTGTTTCGTCTCAGTTTGGCCCCGGAAGAACCGGCTCCCACCTCGGAAACCGTAACCGGTCCTTCCGTCGTATCCTCTCGGACCCGGACGGAAAGTTTGGGGATCGCCGACCGTTTTGGCCTTCCCGGCCAAAGCCGAGAGAAAAGCGGTGGAAAGCGGAGTTGGGCGCCCAGTCCCTTATTATCGCCGTCGCCATTTAAAATTACGGATTATTTCCTAACTCGGAAGGTTTCTTCGCTTTCGTCCGCTTCTGTTCTCGGTCCGAATACGGAACCTCTTTCCGTGGCGCCGGAGGACCCGAACCGCCCGGGCTTGGTTTACGCGTCTTACCTTTTCCACTGATTTGGAGAAATGACGCTTCTTTTCAGGTGGACTTGAAACATAAACACCAGACGGAAGATTCGCCCGACATCGAGATGGGCATCGACCTGAGCGAGTTTTACCTCAGCGTGGAATGGGACATCATGGCCGTTCCGGCGCGGAGGAAAGAAAAGTTCTACAGTTGCTGCGAGGAACCTTATCCGGACATCACCTTCAACGTCACTCTGAGGAGAAAGACTCTGTTCTACACCGTCAATCTGATCATTCCTTGCGTGGCCATCTCCGTACTTTCGGTCCTGGTCTTCTACCTGCCCTCCGACAGCGGGGAGAAAGTTTCGCTCAGCATCTCCATCATGTTGTCTCTGGGAGTCTTCTTTCTTCTGCTCTCCGAGATAATTCCTCCCACTTCCGTGGCCGTCCCCCTTCTCGGAATCTATCTTCTCTTCACCATGATTCTGGTTTCTCTCTCCGTCTTCGTCACCATCGCCGTTCTCTGCGTCAACTTCCGTTCGCCGTCCACCCACAAAATGGCGCCTTGGGTCCGAACCGTCTTTCTACGAATCCTGCCCCGAATGTTGGGCATGACCCGAGCGGAAGACAGGCAGTCGGACGACTCGGCCTCGGTCGACGATTCGGTGATGTCCTGTTCCTACCACCGACAGTACGAGATTCCGGGCGGGGAGGAAGAACAGTCCAAGACCGATTCCGATCTGGATTTGAGTCCCGCCAACGAATTAACCAGAGCTTACCTCAACGTCAGGTTCATCGCTCAACACGTGGAAAACTTCGACGTCTACTCCGAGGTGAGTTTACCTTTAAAACCGGTTATCTCCGCTCCTTCTATTTCCAGATGCGAATCGTCCCCCGCGTGATAACCGGAAATTACCCGGTCGGGCCCGGGTGGGTCGTCCTACCTCCGCTTACCGGTACGAAGACAAGGGTGAAAAATCGCGGACCGCTACCCGTAGCGACGCTTCGGGCTAAGTTGGTGGCCCGGCGTGGTTTTAAAGCGGCGCGATATCCCTAAGAAAGGAACTGCCGCTATTAAAGAGGGTTTAAGAATTTGGCCAGGCCCAACTGCGTTACCTTTCCTTCCCTATTTATTTATTCGGCGTGGCGGCCTCTTTTCCCTAAAGGAGAACAATGCGAAGAACAGATTGGAAATTTCGAAAATTAGAAACGTTTTTGGAGGGAAAACCGTCTGGTTAACTTCGTAATATCCGTTTTTGAAGATAGTTTTGGTCTATTTAGACTACGAGAATTTGCGGCCGGCGTGTCCGGAATCGGTTATCGAACCCCGAAATGTCGAAAAATATTTCGTAGCTGCGAAAATTACGATAATTCACCGCGGACTTGTACTTTTACAATCCCTTTACTTAACAAATTATATTTTAAACTAAAATTAATTAAGTCTAAATGTCATTGTTTTAATTTTTATTGTCGCGCGAAGAAAAATCTAGCGAAGCAGAACCGCGCGCACTTTACAATCGCCGTTACTGGATTGAAATTTGCTTTAACAATTCGACATTGTGCCGGAGTAGTCCGTAAGCTCTATTAATATAAAATTTTAAAATTTCACAAAAGCCATTTCTCCGGCAGAGGGAGAGGATAGTATCCTCTTTTCTTCGGTCTGCCGTTCTGTCGGGAGGTGTGACCAATAACCGGTCCATTCCCCCTCTCTTTTCGTCGCTCTCGGCACCGCTTCCGCTGGTTTAAACTCGTTTCTTAAAATATTTAAATTTATTCGTTGTCGTCTCTATTACGTTACGCCTCGGTACCTCGTAGCATTGCCGAAGTAGGATACAGAAAGAGAATATATTCGTCATTCGACATTACGAAATCACGAGAATCGTGTAGATTTCGGAAACGACGGGTGCGTAGCACGCGAGACGTACACGGGGAGAGCGGAGCAAATGTACGGCACAACGCGACTATTTACAGAACTATACAAAAAACAAGTGTGCTCGGGAAGGTAAGATACTACAGTAGAGCATCGATTATCCGAACCCGATTAACCGTCACATCGGTTAACCCACCGTTCTAGTCGGCAAATTTCAAACGTCCTCTAGTGATGCGGCGCTACAATATTTGGCTACGTCTCGGCTACTTTAATATTATTTTTGTTAAATTTTTGCGTGTTTTAGCTGGCAACACTGGCTCGACCACGAAAGGGAGGCCAGTACTGTATTTAAACGATGCTTAATTTTCTAATTACGAGTGGTTGTTTGTTTCGTGAGCAGTAAAATAATTTAAAAATAATTTTTAACGATACAATAGCGACGACTATTATTTAAAAAAAAAAATTTGTTAGGCTAAACATCGACGAAAATTCAACGCCAAGTTGGTTAATAGCGATATACTAATTACGTGGGATATACTAATATAGTATACTAATAATGTACTTTTTTCATTCTTTTCGGTTATCCGATCAACCCCAGTCCCCAATTGAGTCGGATAATCGATGCTCCGCTGTATTTTACATTTGTACGGTCCAAGTAGCCGCGGATTAGATTCTTTGCGGCGGTAAAGAGTTCCTCCGTACGGATTAAGTTATCCCGACTGCGGGGCCAGTCGCCATCTCGCGAAACGAGAAGTTTCGGCCGTTATCGGACGTCTAGAGCATTCGGAAGGTAATGACGTTTTCCATCGGGCACGTTGCGCGCGTGGCGGTAGTCGAAGTCGCGGCGACGGAATCCGCCGAGATGCCGACCGAATTTTTCACGGTTTGTTCACAACTGGGTCGGTTCACTGGCGACCTAGTACCGATACCGGCACGTAATACTCGCTTCCCTTTGGCCAAGGAAAAAAGGCACGCATCCACGCGCGCCTCCCAGTGGATTTGCCAGCGCGCGGTTGCCCAGTCCCGAACCCGGAGCTTGGGAGTTTAGCGGGTCAGCGAATAGCTGGGCCGCAACGCGATTAAGAAGGCCGTGTATATACGTAGATCGTCATCCTCCCGGGGAGTTTGCTCGGCCGCGGTCTCGGTGGCCGGGTGGGGAAGGAGACGAATGGGGTATTTCATTTGCCGAGAATAATTAGCATCCCCGTCCACGCTAATGTATCGATAGTCGTCCGGCGGGTAAAAACGAAACATACCTTATTTAGTCGAGGCGAGATTTTACCAAGTAACGGAGGCGCGGCCGCCGACGGTCGAAGACGAATGGAAAATTCGGTAAAAAGCCAGCTCCGAAGCGGAACGGGGCCAAAGAAGATTCTTTAGAAAGAGAGCGACGAGGTCATTTAATATCCAGCGGCGGTGGGAAATCGGGCCAAAATCGTTTGTCGTACGGAGAAAATGAATAGGACGAAAGAAGACGAAAGCGGATTTGCGTTTTGTTTACAAAATTCTAATCGAGCCACAATTGGCTTAAGTTAAAGACTCGACAGTAGCCGAGTGTACTTTTTGCGGAAACAGTTTGAAATGACGCCAAATCGGTTTATCTAAGGTAGGTTGGCGACGCAAAAGTCTATTTTATATTTCTGCGTATACGCTGTCTACTAGAAGATCTAAAAGAGTAAAGACGTAAAGATGAAAGAAAAAAAGTCTATTTTATACAAGTACTTGTATTTACCATATACTGTACTTAACTTTTTAATTTTATTCAAAACGTATATTTTCTTCTCGGTCTTAATTCATTTTTAGATACGGCTTTTACAGTAAATTGTAAAGCGAAAGCGCACCCGGCGCCGGGTTTTAAGTCCGATGGCCACGCTACCTGTCTAGAAATCTGTAAGAAAATCCGGCCACCGGACGAAATGAAAAACGGGCCGAAAATTATATTCGTCGTATCGATCGGCGCTTTCTCCGGTCCTCTTCTACGCCGCGCGCGGTACAATTTACCACGGACAAAATGTACGCCTTCCATTCTACTATTATATTTCTATTTCCGGTTCCGTAAAATCGATATTAGCGGCGCGGGTGGTTTTCGCACCACCCGAAGAAGTTACGACAGAGCGGTGGGCCGGATGGAAACGTAGCGGAAGCCCCGAGTCCACGGAATTTCGCAAAACCGCTTCTGCCAGATTCCGTGGATGTTTTAACCGAGTGGTCTCCACTTTCTGGTCGGACTGGCGCACACTTCGGGGGTTGGTCGCAAAATTTTCTCCAAAATAGTCCAAAGCCTATTTCCGACCGGCGGACTTACCGCGTGGACACAAATATAAATTTCCATTACCTCCGTGTTGCGATTTCGGATGGCTTTCTTGGCGTAAGTATACCTACGAGTATAATCGATCGTTTTCCCAGTCAAATACGCTATTAGTGGAATAAATTGTTTGGCCTAACTTACAGACCGGATCACCTACCGTCCATGTTTTATATTAAACCGTCGTTGCCCTATCTAAATCATTCTCCGCCTGGCTTCGGAGTGGATACGTCCCGAGGCTGCGCTTTCGGCGCCTTATTCCTTTCGGCTTATATTTATAACTTATCGAGTGATGCGAAATGGAAAGCCGTGGCCCGCGCGGGCGTATCGAATTGTTAAATCACCACCCCTCGGTTTTACCATCCGATTTTAATATACCGTCTCGGGTATTCTCCCAAGTTAATTTAAAAATTAACCAGGAAAAAAGGAAGTTACCGGCCGTCGCCACTGCCGGTAACACTTTTTTTTTCCTATCTTTTATTTTCTACCTTTCGATATAAAAACATCCGACGTTACGTTAACGGCACCGTACGGTCCTCCGGGAACCTCATTCCTGGGCGGAAAATGCGGGTAAATCTCTGGAAAAGTCCACCGGGCCAGAACCCGAACTATAGAAGTTTGTTTACGCGGTTACCGCCGGTACCGCGTACCGCCCAGCCGTACTTTTCGTCTCGTCTTCGGTAGGGATGCCGCGCGGACCAGACGATCCGTTCCGGTAGCGGAAAAGTTCGGTCGGACCCAACGTCGCCGTCGCCGTCGCTGTCGGTCCGAATTACTCCCGTTTCGTTAGTAAAAAGGAAGGCCCGAGAAACGACGCGCCGGAAATTGCTACCTCAGTCAGCGTACCGCTCGTCCCGATGGGTTCTCGGGTTTTGCGTCAAAAATAGCGCTCCGTTATTCCTCGGCCGCCCTATCGTCCCCCTCCAATCCCTAATTAATTTCCCGTTTCCAACGTTAACGACGGATAAAGAAAGATCTAACTTCCAGTCGCCATTATTCGGGAACAAAAATTGACCAAATTGGTTTCCTTCTACTCCAAATTACGGCACGGCGAAAGTCGCCGGCTGCGACTTTCCCCGGCAGTAATTTGGAAAGAGCTCCCAATTAAATTGGCAAAATTTAGCTTTATTCAAACTTGGCTTCTTCTTCTTTATCCCACGTTTATACGGGCTTTCCTTTTTTATTCAAACTTCACTAAAATATTAAATTAAATAGTGATATATGATTTAGGTGTCGATTCTTTATTCTTATTCCTCACACGTCGCACTATTTTACTGTTTAACTCTTGGCTCTTATTTGTTTCTTACCTAAACGATGGCCGCTTACCACTATTTAAAATTCAGTTGGGATAAACACTTTAAAATATTCAATTTCGCTATTTTATAACCTTTTTTTTATAAACGAATTATAAGAGAGAATTTCTGAATTTTCTCTTATAATTCATCTATAGGAAAGAACTATTACAAATTAGCTCTGTCTTTACAAGGATTACGTATTGTATATTATTAATAAAGATCGTCAAAATAATTTCTATTTTTTATATCTAACATTTCATTTTAAAAAATATCCAAATGAGGGGCGCGTTGGTAAACTTTGCCTAGGGGCTATTTTACCTAAGGGCTAAAATAACCCGGCACCGGCACCGTTGTCGGGTAATTTTACCGGCGCTCTACCCGAGGTAAAATACGACTGTTCGTCCGTATTAAAGTCTGGTCTATTTCCAGTGCGAAATCCTTCTCGGGCATTTTTCGCCCAAGTATTTTGCCATTCCGAAGAACAACGCTTGGCCCAAGTGGAGTGTCTTTAACGCACCGACCAGGTATTTCCATACCTTCCCGGGCTGACTTGTCGAAAAGTTTGGCCGGGGGATTTTAAGCCCAGTTCCTATCCGAATACGGTAGATTCCATCGACCGGATTTCTTTACTTTCGGCACGGATTTTCGTCCATGAACTATAAACTCGGCGACGGGACGGAGAGAGGGGAGGTCTTTACCCCCGTCCGTTCGTCCTCTCGCCGCCTTGCAGTCTCGATCGTCGGCGGAAACGAAATCTTAATGCCTTTTATCCGCGACCCTCTCTTCCTTTTCGATTTGTCGGGATGCTCGAGAATGTTCGGCTTCTTTACAGTAATAATAATAATTATAATTAGGCCTATTATTTTATTAGACGTTAATAGGAAAATGACAATTAAAATAAACTGATACAATTCGTTTATCTTAACGGGTCCGTAACGTCGAAGCGCGGCGTTTCCGGAACTCGAAACGTTTTTTCCTTCCGTCGATAAAATCACTTTTCGGTTTTTACCGGTTCCATTGCCGGCGCCGGCCGTAAAACCCGGATGGTTAATTCCGGAGGAGGCGCGGAATAACGCGTGGCCCGGGTTTTGCCTCGTCTTAAAGGGGTTGGAATTTTGACCCGGGTGCCGTCTTCTGTCGCCGGACGTTCGGCATCCGACGGCCCGGGTGGGAAACCGGCCGAATCCGTCGGCCTTCCGCTTCCGGGGCGCCCCGACCTTCTCCGCCGCCCCCGGAGCCGGCCTCTACCGAGGGAGAGGCCAGCGTTTCTCGCTCCGCTCCTGCAAGGAGGGGAAGAAAGTAATCTTCCGGTAAAATCGGGCGTTTTTGGCCGTTTCACGGTCCGAAAGGCGGGACGTAGGAGTAGAAAGAAAGAGTGGACGGGCCGACGCGGGTTTAAAACGGAAGAGGAAAATGACGGTTTGGCTTTTGTCGTTTCAGGTGGAAGAGGACTGGCAGTACGTGGCCATGGTGCTGGATCGACTCTTCCTGTGGCTGTTCACGGTGGCCTGCGTGGTGGGGTCGGCGGCCATCCTCTTACAGATCCCCACGCTGTACGACGGACGACAACCCATCGACGTGGTCTTCTCCAAGATGAAGTTCCGCCTGCAGCATCTGCAAGGCTAGCCGCCTCCTCGACCCCCGACCCCCGACTTCCTCTTCCTTTTCTTAGCCAATAAAGAGTTTTCCACCTTCTTCCAGCTTTCTTCCTGCCTCCGGCGGCTTTCCGCTTCTCCCCAAGCCCTTTGCCCCTCGGACGGTAAACTTTAGTCGGGTCGAAGCGATTGTTTCGGAGGGGCGAGACAGACGATCGACGACCGTGGGCCAACCGAAGCGTCCACCTTCTCACTCGGCTCCGACCACCGTATTATTGTGCGCTTTTCGTTCGAATGACCCTTTCGAAATTCCGCTTCCGGTGGCCGTTTTGGCGTTGGCAGCCTTTCCGCCCGTCCGACGATGCAAAATTTAATAATGTCTAAGACTAGTAAGAAAGTAAAATGGACGGGTCCATTTTAACGGAAAGTGGCTAAAAGCGGCCTGGCCGAGCTAAAAATTTAAACGCTAAATTACAGTAGACCCCCCTATAACACGGTAGACACGTTCCGTTTTATATAAATTCCGTGTTTTACGAGTCACTTAAATACACGAGCCATTTACAGCCAGGCAGTGTGCAGTTTAGGGACTACGGCTGTTTGAAAGGTTTTCTTCCATAAAATTAATAGATTCTAGACTAATTCGACTCGACATTTCCAAAACACGTATAACTTTTTGGGAATAATCCGTATGAACTATTCTATAAATAAAAAATTGTAGCGTTACTTACCGAGTGCGCACCGTTCGACGACGCCATCGCTTAAGCTCGTTTTCGTCGCGGAGCGGCGCATCGAACGGCGGGCGCGTATTTTCCGATAAGTTATTTTTCTGCGAAAAATTTGCTGAACTTCGGAGACATCGTTAATATAAATATTATTTTTATGGCCGTTAAATAATAAATGGTTTTTAGTAGGTCCGCCGCTGGTTTAAACTCAACGTTTAGTGCGATATTTGCTATTGGTCTAGATTTGACCGATCCCGTCGCGACACGAATCGGCGATGACGTTTTACCGTATCGTACGAGTCTTTTTAGCGTGTTTAAACGAATACGATCGTAATTTTTTCGCCGTGTTATAGGAATCCGTATTATATGAACACGTGTTATAGGGGATCTACTGTAATTACCCCCGGCCGTAGACGGAACGATTAACGTCTCCCGCCCGACTAAGTCGACTTAGGCGGGGCCCAGAAAACATCTATAAGCATCCGAAAGTGGAGTTATTTCCATTCAAAAATTTTCCCCAAAATTTTTCGAGTCGCGGCCCGTAAACGAAGAAAGTTTGGCCTTTGGCATATCGGGCCTCCGCGCCCGACCAAAGCTTTTGCATTTCGAATATTGCCTATGGGCTGGACTCGACAAAATGGCAAAGTAGACAAACCGACGAAGAGACGGTAGAATCGAAGAAAAAGGAAATTGGGAATAAATTTCGTAAAGAGACGGAAGTTTTAATCGCTAATTGCCTGCCTAAAGTGACTTTGGCCACACGCAATGACGGGTTTAGAAAATGCTGCCGTAACGTCAGAAAACTTAATTCTGAGATTAAACATTATTTCGACAGCAGCGGCGTACGGATACGAAATTCAATAGATACAAACCCTTTTACCTGTTTAAAAATTGCCGAAAAGAATTATACGCTGGGACCAAATCGACTGAAATTCCAGGAGAAGGTTTAAACAGATTAAAAGTTGCCGTTAGATCGACGGAACGGCTAACGAAGACGACGATTATGGAGTCGTATTATGTCGGCCGTTGTACTTAGCGACGATAGAGATGTAAACTAAACTACAGCCGTTGTTCTTAAATCCCTTATTCGTTACCGTTTTATTATTATACGAGCGCGCTACATTAATTCGCGACGAGAAAATAATTTCGCTGACTGGGATATCGATTTTCCACCGCCGCGCAACGCTTGGAATTTTATTAAATCTTGCCCCCGTACGTAATACTTTTCCCGTTAACTACCGAGTGGCGCTATCTAACTTCTATCGGGACGAACTTTTTGAATCGAAACAACGTAATTTTGTCAATTTTTTAAGTTTAAAATACTACCGGCTCATTTAAAATTTGGCCTTTTACGCAAAAATTTTCACTACGGCTCACGTTTTCGGATCCGACCGCCAGTGATGGGCCTCCGGCGGTACCGAAGGCCCATCACCCGCGGTTAATTAATTAATCGGGGTTCCGATTAATGGCGCCTTCCGGCAGTGACCTCGTCTCGCGCTTGGCCAATAAAAATCTCTTAGTCGTACCGATGGCCGGACGTCCGAGTTTCTTCTTCTTTTTGTCGGTAAGTCGGCGGAGAAATCCGTTCGTCGGCACCGGGAAGAGATTCGGAGGGTCGGAACCGCGTTTTGTTCCGTTGGTGGCGTAACCGTAAAATAAAATCAGATCGGTACTCGGGTCGATACTGACAAAACTAATTCGTTTAAAAAACTTTAATTTCTTCGGTGTTCAAAAATACGCGTTTATTTCGCTAATAAGTACTTTTTTTATTACAGATTCAAAAAGAAAAAAACTAAAATAGTTTAGTTGAAAAATAAAAGCCATCGTTAATTTAATTATTTAAATTTATTCGTGTTTAAAGAAGTACGCAAACAGTCTTTTAATTAATGAATAATTAGCAAAAAGCGGAAACTGCCATTTATTTTTATTACTTTTTCATTTTTTTTTCTATTAGGGGATAAGCGACGGTCACAAATAACTGGACCGATAGTTGGCGCGTTTGTCCCGTAGACTTAACTAAGGATGCAGCGATTAATCGGTAAGTAATCGACCACTTAGCCGAATAATCGGTATCGGCCATTTCCCCGATTAATCGGCCAATTTTACATTTTGGTATTTTTTGTTAGAATGTTACGTACAATGCTAGTAATAAAACCTGATAAATTTCTGTTATATATTTATTATTTATTACGTGACAAACTGAATATTAAAAAAATTTTACAATTCAAATTATTTTTTTCATCGATACATAAGTATAATATAACGTATAACACTGTATAAAGTTTAAACTTTGAATAAAAACGAGAGTATTGAATATGTTAAGAAGAGAAATTAAAATTTTATTTGTTTCATAACTTTAAACTTTAATTAAACATATAAAACAAATAAAAATTTAATATTCAAACTGTAAAAGTGTACCCTTAAATTGCGATGCAAAAACATGAGAATTTCACCATTTTCGGGGCATAAGCTATTTTTTGCCGGCTCATAAATGATGCCTTTAATGCTGAAGATTTTTTCACTTTCGACGGAAGATGCTGGGCCATTTAAATATTTCATAGCTATTTTGCTCAAATTAGGAAAAAGTTCTTTTAAACTTTTCCACCACAAAAAATATGTCACTATGTCTTTGTTTAAAGGGTAAATATAAATATGTTTGTAATTCTCGATCGAAACGTTTGTTCGTCTCTTTCGTGTTTTTTCTTTCTTTTTGAAAACATGCTATTCTTCATTCTTTTGTTTACCAGATGCTAATTCATCAAATAAATCAGAAAAACTTAGAGATTCGCCTCCATCTTGATCACCTCCGGAAGTAGAAGCTTCAGAATTTAATTCTTATTGAGATTTTGAATTATCGACATCTTCTAAGCTATCAATTGCCCATATTTTTATTTCCTTTACCGTATCCTCTTTTTGAAATTTCATTTTGAATCTGATAAAAATGACAAGCATAAACATTTGTTTTCTATATATGCTGTAAATCTTTTTTTTATTGAATTTTCTAGTTCTTCTGTTGTGGTATTAATACCACTAAAGGAACTACTGATCTTTGCTTTTGATAAGAATAATTTCAGAGTCTCTATTGTGGGAATTATTGAAGATGAAGTGGCTTCTCGTTTGCTGGCTTTCCACAGTAATTTCTTCCAATGGTTTTACAAGTAGAACAATTTTTTCAAACAGAGGTCACTGATATGGGCTTAACGTAGGAATTTTATTATCTATAGCACGGGTTCCCAACCTATGGGTCGCGACCCAAAAGGGGGTGGCAACGGGTTTTCTGTGGGGTCGCCAACTTATGCAGTAAACTAAAACAAAATTTTCACTATAATGCAATATTTATTTTTAATGGTGTCTTAAAGTTTGAATAATTTCATATATTTTTAAAAAATTAAATCAAGTGTAATCTGGGTACGTTATTCTGTCACAGTTGGTTGAAACATGTGTTGAGAGTTTTGAGAGGAATAAATTAAATATTGAGAATGACACGAGGTTGGCGTTAACAAAATTTCACTCGCGAATTTTGAGGCTGGTTAATAATACATGCAATNTGACAAGGGCCTTTTGCTGTTCCAACATGTAGTATGTAGAATTCCAGCGAGTAGGAACATCTTGATATTAATTTGTGTTTCTGAAAACCTAACTTTTCTTGCAAATCTTCCAATTTGATTACAGCTACAGCAGAATTATTAAAATGTGTGACAATATTTCTATTAACTGTGATTATAGTTTTCACATCTTGTTCAGAAAATATGCATTCCTTTAGTGTCAGCTGCGGCGTATATACTGTATAAAGCACGATAATGCTTCTAAGTTGCAATTCCTACTTCCAGCTACCAGATTTGCCGCATAATCTCTTAGTACTAAGAATATCTTATCACTTGTCAACTTATACTGTTCAAGAACAATTTTTAATTGTTCACTGATTCGTGTAGCTGTGTGGGAACCTTCGAAGGAAACAATTTGCAAAACAGCTCTTTCCTGCAGAAAATCATCGTTCAACCAGTGGGCTGTTACACTTAAAAAAGGAGAATTGTTTGTAGTTGCTGTCCAAATATCAGCGGTTAAAGAAATATATTTTGTTTCTGTTAAACGCAGAAACACTTCAGCTTTTTAAACAATGTCGAAGTTTCCGTGCGTCAACAATTAGTGGTGAGATTTATTTTAGAAACAAAGGAAGAGATTGTTGATTTTGCCAGGATATTCGATCGTCTCTTGTTTACCTGACCCGAGGGAGATGGAGGTACCGGGTGGAGAAAAATGGGTTTTTCCACATTATAATTAACTGTATAATTAACTCCAGGATCTCACACTATTAATGCAATAAATTATTAACACTAATCGGCCGATTAATCCATTCGCGCACCCCGAACGATATCCGTTTCGAGAAACTTAAAACGGCAAATACACGTAATTTAAGGTAAAAATAACGCGATCGAATGCCCTAATAATAAGTTAAAACGCGAAAACGTTAAATAAAATACTTAAATACCGTATAATAAAGTGAAGATCGCTGTTACCGTCGACTCGGCGCGTTAAAAGCGGTGGCGCGCGTATCGCTTTGGCACTTCGCCATACGTTCGTTTTTCGTCTCGATCATCGATTTTAAATGCTGGCTTTTACTCGTTAGATTCGGTCGCGTCCACACCTCTCGGCGCCTTCGTTAATAAGATTGTAATGATAACTACGTAACACGTAAAATGCGGATTTTATTAAATCCAAAGAGCATCGCTATACCAGAAATATCCAGCACAAATGAAAAAATAGTAAAGACCGCCGAACGTCTACGTGAAAATTTGAACTCGCTGAACAATTATTTCATTAGTTAAAAACGCCGACGTCAATAATTTATTATGTAATAAGGTTTAACT